CATTACGAACTTCAAATACCAAATTTGAACCAATTCTGGCGAATAATGTCAAAGTACCGAATATCGGGAGGTACCAATGTCCTGCAGACATAATATACGTTTGAGTAAAATTTTATCAACCTACTTTATTTCGTTCGAAAGCTAGAGTGATTTCCACAGACTGACAGACGGATAGACGGACGGACATCGCTAAATCGACATAGAATGAATACATATACTTTGTGTGGTCTAAAATGTATATTTCGAGGTGTTACAAACGGAATGACAAACTTAATATACCCTCCATACTATGGTGGAGAGGGTAGAATTATTACTGGAAAGTATGTTGCTACCTCGAATTATCCAATTGTAACAGAAATGCCTTTCAACTTCAAAAGATTGCAGTTTCCGGCACGCTTGGCATTTGCTATAAAAGTAATAAATCCGAAGGACAATCCCTTCGTGTAAGTGGACCAAATTTAGCATGTTCCTGATTTTCTCATGGTCAGCTGTTCATGGCATGTTCACGTGTTTGAAGACCGAGCTATTTGTTTGTTTACGCATTAAAGTATTACAATAATAACGCAAAGACCTAAAATGGTAAAGACTAGACAAAATGCATTTTCAGAAAATGGTTTGTGTCTACAATATATAGAGTAACAGCTCATGGCAGAGACATGTTAATATAATAACCAGAATTACAGAAACGAAAAACAAATAAAAATTTGAAAAATCCAAAATTTTGGTTTCAAAATGTTATTTCATAGAACTTTCCAAAAATCTGTGTATTGCTTTAGCGGTTTAAATTGTTAACATTGGCAACTTTGTTGTTATGATATCGTAACAACAGAGCAAAGACATATAATATAATATAATAAGATGCAACATTACATTTTCACTTTTCTCTAAAATTTTATAAACGTTATTCAAAGATATAGAAGTGTGAATATAGGACAAAGACATAAAACTATAAAGATTGGACAAAATGCATATCAAAGACCTAAAATGGTAAAGACTGGACAAAATGCATAATGGAAAAATAGTTAATGTGAAAAATATATAGAGGCGCTGCTCACAACAGTGACATGTTAGCATAAAAATTATATTTACAGAGCAATTTTAAGAATAAAATTTTCTGTGAACCAAAAATTTGAACTAAAAATTGCATTTCACTGACGTTTGAATATTGCATTTGCTGTTAAAACAACTTAACATTGGTGATTATGTTGTTATGATATCGTAACAACAGAGGTATTTACACCTTATAACATAATGCTATGTCACGATATCGTGACAAAGACATAGAAGTATAAAGATGGGACAAGACAGAGTCAAAATATTGTCACCAGGTGTAAATACCTCTGTTGTTACGATATCATAACAACATAATCACCAATGTTAAGTTGTTTTAACAGCAAATGCAATATTCAAACGTCAGTGAAATGCAATTTTTAGTTCAAATTTTGGTTCACAGAAAATTTTATTCTTAAAATTGCTCTGTACATATAATTTTTATGCTAACATGTCACTGTTGTGAGCAGCGCCTCTATATATTTTTCACATTAACTATTTTTCCATTATGCATTTTGTCCAGTCTTTACCATTTTAGGTCTTTGATCGTGACATAACATATTTTTCCACTACCAACGCCATCTATTGAAGAAAAGTAACAATGTAATGTCCCATCAAAGACATATAATATAATAAGATGGGACAATTCATTGTTACTTTTATTCAATAGACGACGTTGGTCTTGGAAAAATATGTTATGTCACGATATCGTGACATAACATTATGTTAAATTTAACAGAGCTGACACATTTTAAGGGTTGTTGTTGATTTTTATCGATTCAATGTACAAGGAAATGCTCTGGAATAGATTTTTGAGAGCATGTCTATCATACCCGATATTTTTTTCCGCGTATTTCCGCCATTTTTCGGCGATATCGGAATAACATATTTTTCCAAAATTTCCAATGCATTTCTATTATGCGCCTGCCATCTGTTACCCGATTGAAGAATTAAAGCCCATATGCCAAAGACATAAAACCAAAGACGTAAAATGGTAAAGACTAGACAAAATGCATTTTGAGCAAATGGTCTGTGTCTACAATACATAAAGTAACAGCTCATGGCAGAAACATGTTATTACAAAAACCACAATTACAGAAAAGAATAACAAATAAAAATTTAAAAAATTCGATATTTTGGTCTTAAAATTTTATTCCATAGACCTTTCAAAAATGTGCATATTGCCTCAGCGGTTTAAATCAGTTAACATTTGTAGCTATGTTGTTATGATATCGTAACAACAGACGTATTTTCACAGGGTTGCCATATTTTGACTCTGTCTTGTCCTATCTTTACACTTCTATGTCTTTGCATAAAACTATAAAGATTGGACAAAATGCATATGGGCTTTAATTCTTCAATCGGGTAACAGATGGCAGGCGACATAACAGAAATGCATTGGAAATTTTAGAAAAATATGTTATTCCGATATCGCCGAAAAATGGCGGAAATACGCGGAAAAAAATATCGGGTATGATAGACATGCTCTCAAAAATCTATTCCAGATCATTTCCTTGTACATTGAATCGATAAAAATCAACAACAACCCTTAAAATGTGTCAGCTCTGTTAAATTTAACATAATGCTATGTCACGATATCGTGACATAACATATTTTTCCAAGACCAACGTCGTCTATTGAATAAAAGTAACAATGTATTGTCCCATCTTATTATATTATATGTCTTTGGCATATGGGCTTTAATGTTTCCATCAGGTAATAGATGGCAGGCGACATAACAGAAATGCATTGGAAATTTTAGAAAAATATGTTATTCCGATATCGCCGAAAATTGGCGAAAACACAAGGAAAAATGCCAGGTATGATAGACATGGTCTCAAAAATCTATTCCAGACCATTTATTTGTACATTGAATCGATAAAATCAACAACAACCCTTAAAAAGTGTCAGCTCTGTTAAATTATAACATAATGCTATGTCACGATATCGTGACATAACATACTTTTCCACGACCAACGCCATCTATTGAATAAAAGTAACAATGTATTGTCCCATCTTATTATAGCATTATGTGACATAGCATTATGTTATAATTTACAACAACAAATACAAGTAATCGCACCTAATTCAATTTGTGCTCCATTAAAATAGAAAACTTTTGGCTGGGAATTGAACCCAACACCTTCAGATTGCTATTAAAAGTCCGCTTAGCAGCTATGTAGACATAGCTTTCAATGTATATATCACAAATATGTGGGTTAAGCATTTTGGCAATTCACAAAAAAACAACCCCAAAAAAACTTAACCCACACACAGCTTAATTTTTTCCAAAAAGTGCAATTGGTGTCTGCCTTGAAATATGTTACTAAAATTTAGAGCTATTTTTTAAATCAATTTTAAGTTATTTCAAAAATGGGCTACAGCAGTAGCAAACAAAAAACTCATCAAGCCAAAACCCAAAAATGTAGCCAAGGATGAGTTTTCCGTCCCATGATTTTGTTGCTCGGCGTATTTGGAATGAAAGTCAAGTTAATTTGGTTTTAGTCTAAAATTATTTATTTTGTTTCTTTTTTGTTCTTTTACCAAAACATGGACGTCTGTGGGTATACTGGTTATTCCTTATAAACAAAATATATAACAATTAACATATATATAAAATCACACAAAATTCACTTTATTTCTTTTCCATTGCCAGCAAGCTTTGATCGATAATGAAGGAAAACAAACGAAATATGGCTAAACTAAAAATATCACCAATAGAAATACATAAGACTGATGTAATGAGCCGAAATCGTATCATTGTTATTTATTATCAGAACGTACTTGAAAGAAAATCCTTGAATTTTATTTTCAAACTTTATAAAAGTAAGTCAAAGTTGAAATTTTCAATGAAATTTCCATTAAACAGGTCGTGCAAATCACAATAAAAACGACAGTTGAGATCGAAAATCCCTGATAAGGTCAAAGTGTTTGTTAACGTTTTCATACGTTTAATTCACAAATGGCATTCAATTTGACAATGCTAGTGAAATCAGCTGGTCTTAACGTGGAAATAAAGTTAATACACCAAACCTCATACCGAATTTGACCCTAATATTTAATCAGATACGCCTTCCAGCTACCTTTTAGTAACTATACCATGTATACCTTTTTTCCTCCAAAGAAAGAAAGGTACTATTTCAAATGTAGTACAACAGTTGCAAAAGCTTACTATGGCAAAGTCATTATGATTATAAAATAAAAACAAATTACTTTTATATTCAAATAGCTACCATGCTGTAAATACCTAAAATTAGCACAGTTAGATTGAGTATCTTATAAAATTATGAGATGCCAAAATATATAGTTTTGCGTATTAATGTTTTTCATTATCGATTTAATTTATATAAGTTGAGTATAAACACATAACCGCTAATTAATTTCAACATTTTGGACTAAAAACAACGATGAAAGAAACATATTAACATTTAGAAGTTGTACTTATGTAAACATGACTATAAAAATTTTAAATTATTTATTACTAATACATACATGTGTAACATATGTGTATTAGTTTATTTCCCTCATACACAAGTTGTAATAACAATAAGTTGCTTCCACGGTAAAATCAAGAAGGTAAAGTAATTTTAAATAAGACTATTTCTGCATTTTCTGTAATTTACCTCGTCATTTAACTGAATAAAAAACAGGTCTATCTCTGATTTCTGAGTATTCAATAGATTTATAGATATACATTTTGACAATGAGATGTTGTCAAATTAATAGCTCTTAACAAATTGTAAACATATTATTGCGCAACTATACCTTTTTAATTCTACCATGTTTGCTTCATTTAATTTGAAAATATGCAAAGGAACTTTCATATTTTTCATGCACAATAATTTAAAAGAATAAACCATACAATAACAACATAGAAATGAGTCTGATACTATGGCCTATCTCGTATTCATTGTACCATGCCTAGATATACCTAAAATAAACATGTCCACTTATATATATTTCAAATATCAAAATTTTAATATTGTTAGACCTTAAATAATGTTGTTGGACTAGTACATTTTTAATGCTGCTTTTCTTTTTGGTTGACTCTAAATTACCAATTATATACAGATATAAGGAAATTAATGCTAATACATCAACAAGCCATTCTGGCAGCAAATAGTTGTTGATTTTCATCAAGCCTTTTTATTGATGTAAAGGCCAAAACCACTTTAGCCATCAGAAAGCGAGGGTGTAACCCATCCATATTTTTCATGTGTTTTTACCAGTGATCGGAATGCTTCCTCTGCTCGTCGTCTGTAAAGGAGAAAGATTTAAAGGTCAAGGTTTGAAAGCAAATACAATAAATATAAACATAACCTGCTGAACTCTTTGGTATTTTTCGGTTTTCGCGTGATTCGGCCCTGTCCTTTGACAAGACTTGCCGCAAATTGCATTAGAACAGCTTCAACCGTATATGCGCTAGCCCATCCGCGGGGGGTTAATAATTCCATACAAATTGCCCCTCCATCCATGACGTACCCCTTTTCAATATGCGGTTCAACAACACGCATAAAAGGCGGAGCAAACGGAAAGTTGTCGGGAAATGTCAAATGTAATAAAATGAATGGGATATTAAGATCGGCCATATCCTTTGCTAACTTAGAATCAGGATCAACCGTGTGTAATCGTGCATGCCATTCGTATAGATTGTCATTTATGAGCTCCACCTTTGTCAGAAAAAAAATCCACAATTTTTCTTATTTCCAAAAGTTTAGTAATAACGTGAAGCCTTTTATTCACAAAAAAGCTCCGACCAATATCTTCTAAACCTATAAGGGAAGGAATGCAAACCTACCGTAAATACCGCATCGCTTTTGCAATTTTGCATTTTTTGAATTTCCTTATACTCTTTCATAAGCCTTCTTGCCCGGACACTATAGTCTGGTGTTGGATTCACAGGTGTCGGTTTAATTCTAAAAATAAATTGCATTTACATTCAATATTTTTGATGCTCTATGACACACTTACTTCTTTTCCAGTCTTCGTATTCTTTTGCCTGGCGAGTCCGTCGGTTTTTTCGCCGTGGAATCAGCTTCAGATGGTTTTTTGTCTTCTGCCAAGTCATCATTAGAAGGATTTTTACTTTTGAAAATCTTGCGTAATGAAGAAACTACTTTCTCTTTCGAACGTGACATTGTCGCAAAAATTTAACTTTGATTGAAAAGTAATGTGGTAAGCGGTGACTGAATGTGTCAACTTGTGTTTCTATATATTCATCGGTTGTTCCTTTGTAGAGAACCTTAAGTATGCCACGAAAACTGAAATCAGTCTATAATCCGTGGTAAATTGGAGGACTAGGGAAATCTGAAAGAGTTGAATACCGCTGTTATATGTAATTTTATTATCCAACAGGTCTACGTAAAATTCGACGTTGCGTACAAAAATGCCAACTTCTCCACTATGGTAAAATACTTTGTACCAAAATACGCCTATCGTATAACAGCGTTGTAAATTTCCAATTAAATACAATATTTCCCAATTAAATTATGTCTTTGTGCATTTGTTTGTTTTGTTACTTTTGAGGATCTTCATAGAATCACTTTCTGAGTCGATTTATGCATGCTAGTCTATCTGTCCATGCATTTTTGTGAAGAAAAAGCAGGTCGCATTTATTATGCGATTGAGATGAAATTTTCCAAACAATATTTGTTTGGCCCAAGGACGAACCCTATTGAAATTGATGAGAATCGGTTCAAATTTACATATAGCTCACACATTTATATTCAACCAATTTCGGGCTAATTGTGTGCCAAATGACCTGAATTTTGGCACATCCAATCGAATTTAGTCCAGAACATAAAATTTGGAGAAAATCGGTTCATATATAGCATATATGTTTTATTCGATTTGGGGTTTTAAGCCATGCGTAATATGCACACCACAAGAATGATATTTTGTATCAGATACAGCTCAGAAATAAGTGTTTAAAATTTTGTCAAGATCGGTTCAGATTTGGATATATGTCCCATATATATATATATATATATATATATATATATATATATATATATATATATATATATATATATATATATATATATATATATATCCGATTTGAGATTTTTTGTGCACCAAATGGTTAATATCAGCCAAATGGACTATATTTTGGCACTTCCGACGTAATTTTAGCCTAAAAGCAAGTGCTTCAAATTTTGGTGAAAATCTGTTCAGATTTAGCTATAGCCCTCATACATATTTTTCATCCGATTTGGTGTTAACGTCCCTCAGATGCGTAATACGCACTCCACAACAATGATATTTGATACTGACACTATGGTGCAATAAATGCAATGTAGGATAAGGTCAAAGACATAAAACTATAAATATTGGACAAAATGCATATGAGCTTTAATTTTTTCATCAGGTAATAGATGACAGGCGACATAAGAAATGCATTGGAAATTGTAGAAAAAAATGTTATTCCAATATCGCCGAAAAATGGCGGAACGATATCGTGACATAACATATTTTTTCCACTACATCTATTGGAGAAAAGTAGCAATATAATGTCCCATCTTATTATATTATATGTCTTTGATAAGGTCGAGAAAATTATGAGAAAAGAGATTTACCTGCATGCATTGTCTGGCAGAATTGCCATACATTTATTTACATATTTGTAACTATGTAACATCAATTTATAATACAAGTGTAAATGTCAGTATATCATCAAATCTTCAGTCCCAAAGGCATCGAATGCTGTATAAAATTTTGTCTCTCATGGCCATTTTCATTTCGTGGATAAAGTGAAACAATAGTTAAGTAAACATCATTTCTATCGGTATATTTTAGCAAGTAATTTATTTTCGTCGCTAATGTAGCGACAAATTTCGTTATTTGGCGAAATTAAAGCAATTAAAACATGTTTCACATAAACTGTCGCATTATAACGAAAGCGGTAAGTTATTTTTTTACGGCCTGCAATATTTGTCCATGCATTCGGAAATTAGACAAATTAAAGCAATTTGTCTTCAAAGTGACAAACAAACGTAAATGAATGCTTACATTTAATTTTATATATTTAAAGCAAAGTATCCATCTATTGGAGCTTAGACTCAGATTTTCAGAATTATTTGCGATTGTTTGAAGTTTAAGGGTACTAGACAATTTTCAGGGCAACTTCCCTCTTCTGTGAATAATAACTGTTAACTCTTTGTTTAGTTCCAATAAAACTAAGACTAAAATTGTTTTTATTGTCAAAAGGGACATAAAAATATACTGTGGATGTTTTTATGTATATTGGAATATGACGGCTCTTTCGCGCACTAAACCGCATAGGCCATTGTTTGGTTCATCACCGAACCAAAATGGACTACAGTTCTTTAGATTCACTAGATTTTGTTTATTCTGTACCTTTAGCATATTTATTCGACAAAAAAGCTATAGATAATTCTAAAAAAGCCAATTTACATATGACTCTCATATCATGCGTAATCTAGCCTTTTATAGTGTTATTTTATAGTTACTATTTTGAAATCTTTCGGTTATTCTGTTTTCATTATTTTTATATTGTACGTATATTTAGTTTGTGTACACTCTTTGGGTTCGTTTTATACGTATCTTGAATTTGTTTGAATTTATTATTAGCTAAATACTAAAGGTTACGTTACTTCAATCATGAGAATTTTATTAACAAGGAAGTACATATTTCTGAAGACACAGAACGAATTTTGCCAAAAATTGCACATTGATTTAGCAAATTTGCTTCAAAATAATCATGGTAGAAAACTTTGGAATAAGCGGTTTTACTACTGAAGGCGGCTGCAGCGTCTTTAATACCAACAATTGTTTCGGACATGTATGGAAAGTGTCTGGAATTTCGCTATTGTTACGATAGATCGGACCTTGTGATAGTGTTGGTATTTGTAACTGTTGTTTTCTTCTGGCCAACGTTGACTAACTATCATCGGGTGGTTGTGAATTCTCCTGCAGGATGAAATAATTTGTCATAAATAGGAATACGTTGAAAAGATTACGAATGGAAGTATTTATTTTCAAACCCGATCTGTTAAACTAAAAGTATTGATTTAATACTAAAAAGTATTGATTTAATACGCTAGCACACCAGACATTTCTTGGCGGACTTTTAGTTCGGTATTACACCCGTTTAAAATAAAACTCTTTGTCTGGTATGCTCTACGTTCCGGCACTATTCACATCAAATTGAACATTCTCTGCCACTTGGGCGGAAAATGAATGTTTTGCATTAATTTTTTTGTCCAATGTATAATCCCAAAGAGACTTGGATTATGGCATGCGGTTTTACATCAAACCGAGTTACATATTGATAAAATCAGCATTTTTGAACAATCTACGACATATATACCACTTAGAATTTAATCAAAAGTAATTCAAAAGAAGTGAAGATGCTTAAGTTCAGGAAACCAATTCCAATACAAGTGCCTCAAAAAAGTCTCACAAAAACAGTCATAAGCAATTTACATAACATTGTACGACAATTATTAAAGACAAAAGTACTAAAGGTAGGCCCACTTTAAGAAATATTCGAAAGCTCAACTTTCTGGTCAATATGAATATTAAGTTACAACTGTGAAGTCCTCTGCCAGGAATTTAAAAATTTTACCTATGGACTATGCGGGGAAGCCTTTTTTGAAATACGCTGCATGAGTATTGCTGAGCTGGTTGTATTGAACTATAATCCCTATAATACAAAGGTATTGGTTATTTTTAGGAACATTGTCATTTAAATTGAATTATGTTCGTGTTATTTCAATTATGATAATATATACCATGTATAAAGACGAACTTACATTACACTTTGCCAAACGATACAATGATATATTTATATATTGAAATAAAAATACTTACAACAGTTGTCTAAGCCTTTGATTGGAACTGGAATCATTTTAGTATATTTCACTACACAAGAAAATAGACGTGTAAAAGAGCCCAGATCGTGTATAGAAATAAATGTTGTAAACACTGCAATTTCCCCTACTTTATGGTAACAACTTAAAATTGTTACTGCTCCATTTTGCTCTTTCTAGTTTTTTTCCTTATTTCAATTAAAATTCAATTACAGGAGACCCGTATCTTTATTCTGTGTATATACAAACAGCTATTGATACTTTCGATTACAACTATTTTTGCAAAAATCGAAAATTACTTTCGATTTTTATTGGTAAAATCGATAACACTTGCTCTGTTCCAAAATCTGCAAGAATCTATTAGCTTCTGGTCTGTTCCAAAACTACAAGAATGTAAAAGTTATTACTAAAATAACCGATTTAGACTCATCTATATGATTTGCTTGTATACGATATGCTGCTATATTCGTCAATGAAATCAGCATAAAAAAGCCAGCAGTTCGCCTTTTGTGTATTTCGGATATCGTCTGTAAGTAATGCTGGTATTTTTCACACAAAAGTAGTGGTCCATTCTACCCGCTGTCCTAAACTCTAACTCCATGTGAGATATCGTGTATTTTGATTTTTACTTGTGACCATTACAACGGCTGCAAAATCAGGAACATTTTTAGTTGTTGGTCAATTTCAACCCCTAATATATTGCGGACATCTTTGAAAACAATAGGCCTAGCCCTTCTGAGCCTAACCCTACCCTTATGTAAATTTTCGTGAGGATCGGACGATAATTGCAATCTGCATATAATAACCCCAACCTGTGTTGTAAGGTGAAAAAATATCATATTTTGTAATATTTATATTTTCAATATTTTAAGTCAAATTAAAAAAATTGCATGCGATAAAAAATATGAAAAAATAAAAAAATGTCACAAAATACTACAAAATCTATACTAGCATAATTATTGGAATTTTTTTTGCCATTTTTTTTTACATTTTATTCCTTTATGTCAAGAGGGCATTCTGAATTGACAAAATATGTCAAAATCGGTTCAGCCATTCTTGAGATATAAGCATTCTAACTTACATCCCCTTCCTTTGTATATACACATTGTATATATTTCGCTATATATAACCGATATATTTATTATCGGCATCTACGTAACGGTCAGAATTGACCTGTTCGTCTATTTGTGATTTGACCGGGATTAAAAATATTCGCGGTTTAATGGAAATGTTGAATTTTATTTAACACAAATGTTGTGGCCTATTTCACCCACTAAATATTACCCAATGGCCATCAAAAGGCTTCTGCCCAGCCCTAAGCTCTAGCGCCATGCTAACTTTTGCGTCGATTGGTCTACAATTGCGACCTGTAGAGCAGCTGCAAAATCAGGATTTTTTTTAGTTTTTGGTCCATTTCAAACCCTAAATATTATGCGATTTTCTTCAAAAGAAATAGGGTTCTATTCTGACCCTAGCCCCACCTCCATTCTAAAGATCGGGCCATAATTGCGACCTGTAGAGTGATTACAAATTAACATGGACAGACGGACGGACGGACATACATAGCTAGATCGACTCAGTTCGGCGAGATAGGAAGATCCATATATACTTTCCTATGTGGGAAACCAATATTTCGTGGTGTTACATAATTTTTGGCCCAATCAAACTTATAATACCGCCAACACATAGTGTTGTAGGGTATAAAAATGCAAATGTTCGATATGAATGGGCAATAAACTGTACAATTTGGAGATAAAACAATATTGTCCTTATATCTTGGAACTTGGAAGTATCTTAATTCAATCTTAGTTCTGTAAACGTATGGAACTATTGATCGCTGCCAATATATAAATCTTCAAAAGATCAACTTTAAGCTTTTTTTAAATTCATTTAAAACATGTTTATTATTGTACTTACGTTGTTACGATGGTGTACAGAGATTAGTCTGTTGCTCAGCAACCTTTCTCACGGACTGTTTCACAACTGTCATTTGGCATTTCCACTGCACTTTATTCGCTCTCTATGCGTTGTTTGACCCTTAACTATGAAAAAAACAGAAAACTGCAAACAAAAGAGGCAATATTTTCAAAATGTTTCTATCGGCAGAAAAAATGTTTGATAAAAGTCTCTCCAGGAGAATTTAAAAATTGAAAAACACAAAAATATGTTCAAAATGTCAAAATTTACACAAAAATTTAAAAACGTGAATGAAAATTGTAAAATAAATGATATATTTATGTTAGTGAGAATTTCATGTATTTTCGTATAAATTCACATTAAAATCAACAAACAAAATTTTTGAAAAAATTAATTATTTTACTATGAATTACGAATCGTGCCGTATGAACGGGTTAATACCTAATTCTGAGAACGAACAACGTTGTTCGGTTTCCAATGGAAACATGCTATAACAATGTAAAAGTTTTTACCACGATAACCGACCGGTTTTCACTTTATGTTATCGAAAAAAATTTTCACAACTAGTAGATTGTAGCAGATTGTGGAACAGATCAAGTGAAATGTCTGTAATCTTAAGTAAAATATTGACAAGAATAACATTCTTGCAGTTCATTAAATTATTTAATTAAGTTGTTGTCATTAATTTTCATCAGTATAATTGAAAAAAGCTAGTAAATATGAATGTGGGGTGTTCTGCGTCACCCTGTGAATGCGCCGTTACTAACTTTACTCAGTTAACATCCCTGTGGCATAGAAAAACAAAAATAATAAAAATGTAGACATCGAAATGATCTCACCGTTTATCTTCGAAAAAATCGAATCAGCAGATGTCATCTATATCGTTTCAGGGGTTGAGTGAGAGTATTTAAGTCACTCAGTTCTAAAATGTTAAAAATTTTATTTTATTTGTTACCTTAAAAATTGAATAACCTATTTTTTTCGTTCACAACATAGTTTTTTAGTTCCTGAACTTGCCATACATTTACTTTTAGATTAGAGTGCATATCTTTTTATCATTATTTACTATGCTTGTGAAAATAAGCATTATATATTTGATTTAACAAAATAAACATGAATTCTTGTTCTTAAAAATTCTTGTTTTTCACTAATTTTAATAGGTTTTAGGGATTAGGAACAAATCACCCATTTTGGTATAAGATCAATGTCATTTTTTACACTGTTTTTTTTTTTTTACACGGCTTCTTCTGGAACCAATCTACCGTGTAAAAACAGACTGTTTTTTACTTCACCTTTTTTTATTTGTTATTTAATTAAAAGATGATGTTTATTTTTGCTTTTTTTTCCTTTTATTATTTTGTTTCAATTCTTTAAATTCAATTTGTTTCGTTTACACTTTTTGTTTAGATTTAGGTTTTTTTGTTCAATTAATTTCCTTTTTTTTGTACAATGTTTTGTTTACAATTTTTTTGTTTATTTGTAGTTTTTTGTTCAATTTGTTCAATTTTTTTTTTTGTACAATGTTTTATTTTCAATTTTTTGTACAATGTTTTATGTTTTTTGTATTATGTTTTTTTTGTTAACACTTTGGTTTTTTTTGTTTTTGGGCACTGTTCACTTCGGGGGGGAAACTTGCGTACGCGCTTTCAAATTCGAGACAGAACTGATCTAACTCAAATTTGCATCGTCACAGCAAACCTGTTTTGGCTGGTGACGATGCTTATTTATTTAAATTCAGCATTGGAATTTACCGGTGGCTGCATATATGTGCATGTGTGTGTGTATATGTACATCATTTTTTTATGATGTTATTTATGCAGCCATCGGTAATGTAACAAACAACACTGTTGCGCAAAAATCTAGCATCTTTTATGAACATTTCTGGCCCCCGAATGACAAGTGTTTACATTCATTTACAATGTTCAAATACAATGTTGTTCTTATATTTTTGGCATATTTTTTATTGGACCGGCAAACACGTAACCCAGTTGGGTATCATAGGCCAGGACATCTCCAATTCCAGCCTCCTTGCACTCGTCTTTTCTTATGGCTGAGTAAACGTCAGCACCCAGTTCCACATCGACGGGATTGTTGCCTCGGGGATCAGGGTCGGCTAGGGCGCAATTTCGGAAACTTCTTGTGGGGTCCTCGAGGATTGGGTCCGAGTAAATGCGCCTGGGCAAATCTTCGATTATCACGGCATTAACTCTAAGACTCCAGTGGCTGTTTGTGCGGCGGGGCGAAACCGTAAAGGTGGTAAATCGCTGCCCTTTGTAAATCCGCGATTGTAGGCCCAATCTACGGAAAGCCGCATACGATATTTTGGACATCGTCGCTGATTGGCTGATTAATGCCCTTAGCATGCTGTACCCCTCTATTTTGTCAGCCTTGATGCGCACCATAGCCGTTGGCACAAATACCAAATCCCACGCAAAGTTTGGTGTTGTTACAACTTCCACGTTTAGGGATACTTCCTCCAGCTGAGACGCCCCGTGTAGCAGCGTATGATGCCGATTGTTGCACCTCCTGCAACCAGTCAACGACGGACAGTCAGGGGCCAAATGACTTCTGGCAAGGCAATTTCTGCAGTACCCCCTACGCTCCACAGTCTCATAGCGTTGGAAGGGGGTCTGGTGGCGAAACCTCTCGCAAGCACTGAGGGCATGGTCCTCTTGACACAACCCACAGGAATACTGCCAATAGCTGGGTCGTTCTTGGCGTTGGCGGGATCTTGCAGCGGAGCGGCTTCGTTGACGTCTTTCTGGCGATGTGGAACTGGGAAGTCTGCGGTGTCTATGAGCCGGTCTGCTGGGAATGGGTTCGGTTGGGCGTCTGGGTCTGCTAGAACTTCTCGCTGTTGGACGTTCGGATTGGTTGGGACTGCGGCTGCGATCATCTAAACGGCAGTCTTGATTGGGCAAGTAGGCAGCCATATCTGAAAAAAACCAAAGGCGAGTACTATGTTCTTTTTTAAGTAGGATTCCGGCTAGTCAGTCGGAAAACAATTTGACAATTTTTGTGATAGGTCTGCTTATGTTGCCACTTGATGTCCGTATGTCTACAACCCTCGTATTCTGATCGCTACCGAGATATGTTTTTGCAATTCGACCCAACTTCCATTCATTTGGAGCCAACCTATCGTCCTTTATGACTACTAAATCTCCTTCTTTGACATTCTCCCTTTCACGCTTCCATTTAGTTCTTCTGTGAAGTTCGTGGAGATATTCTAATTTCCACCTATTGCAAAAGTATTGTGAAATAACTTTGAGTCGTTTCCAACGATTTACTAGACTAAGATCTGTGTCGGAAATGTCGGGTTCAGCAGGAGTAAGAATTGATGTTCCAATTAAGAAATGACCAGGAGTTAACGGGGAAAGGTCATTTGGATCATCGCTACCAGGACTTAAGGGTCGCGAATTAAGGCAGGCTTCAATTCTTGCTAAGATAGTTGTAAATTCTTCAAATGTGAAATTCATTTTTGGAATACTTTTTCGCAAATGCATTTTAAACGATTTAACGCCGGCCTCCCACAAACCGCCCATGTGCGGAGCGCCAGGCGGGATAAATTTCCAAGTAAGATTTTGATTGAAATTGTTTTGGATTGTGCTACTTTGAATATTCTTCATGAAAGCTAATCGATCTCGCTTTAATAAATCGACCGCTCCCACAAAATTGGTTCCGTTGTCGGAAAATATACAAGACGGACAACCTCGCCGACTTATGAATCTGGAGAAAGCGGCGAGAAAGGCATAAGTAGATAAATCGCTAGTTGGTTCTAAATGTATAGCCTTGGTGGCGAAGCAGACGAACAGGCAAACATAGCCTTTTGTGATAAAGCAAGCCCTTCCTGAATAACTTTTAATATTAAAGGGTCCTGCAAAATCTACCCCAGTGTTTGTAAAGGGTCGAGACAGAAAAGTACGTTCGGGTGGCAGCGAGGCCATTATTTGAGTTTGGGTTTGTTTCTTGTGAATTAAGCAGATTCGACATTTTCGTATAGTTTGTTTAACCAGAGATTTGAGTCCAAATATCCAGAATTCGGATCTTAGCACTCGGGTCATCAATTGATTACCACCATGTAAAGTGATCTTATGAGTGAATTCGACCAACAATTTGCTAAGGGTAGTTCCGTGTGGTAGTATTATGGGATGACGTTCGCTATATGTAAGGGCTGGAGATTGAACTAATCTGCCATTAGCTCGAATAATACCCTTTGAGTCGAGAAACGGGTTTAACGTCAATAGAGGGCTCGATGGAGAAATTGGAGACTTTTTCATTAGTGAATTATATTCATCTGCATAAACGAATTTTTGTGTACGAATTATGCAAGATCGTTTTCCATCTTGGATTTCGGCTGCGGTAAGATCTATTGATGAGGAGCGAATATTTTGCCGATTTGCGCCTGTATTTTTCCAAAATCGCAGAGCATAGGCGTATGATCGGTAGACTTTTGCCAATGATGAGAAATTTTTTAATGGATCCTCTCTTTCTTGAAATATAGTCAGAACTTTTACAGCTTTAGCCTCTAAATTTGTGTCGTTTGGGATATCTTGCGATGGCCAACGATCTTTTGGCATTTTGAGCCATTGAGGTCCATGCCACCAGAGCTCATGAGTCGTTAGTTCAGTTGGAGAACATCCACGACTAGCAATGTCAGCTGGGTTGCTTTCAGAGTCAACATGTTTCCAGTTTTCTTGCCCAACATTATCAGATATTTCCGAGACTCTATTTCCCACAAAGGTGCTCCAATGACAAGGAGGCTTTTTTAACCAGGCCAAGACAATAGTAGAGTCTGTCCAAAAATGTGTTGAATATTTTGATATTTGTAGACTGTTTGTAATAGATTTTGCTAATTTGGAAAGTAAGACTGCCCCACATAATTCGAGCCTTGGTATTGAAAGTTTTTTGATTGGTGCTACACGAGTCTTTGCTGCTAATAAAAAGGTGTGTGTGGTATGGTCAGTTTTTTCAATCCGAACATATAGCGTGGCTCCATACGCGCTCTCCGATGCGTCACAAAATCCATGAATCTCAACAGAAGCCTCTAGTGTAAACTGTATCCATCTTGGAACTCTGAGAGATTTAATATCATTGCTATTTTTGACAAAGTTTTGCCAATTTATATGGGTGATTGGTTTCAGTGTATCATCCCAATCGATTTTATCCAGCCAAATTTGTTGCATTATCAGTTTTGCTACGACCACTATTGGTGCTAGCCATCCGCATGGATCAAACAATTTGGCTATAGTTGATAAAACTTTTCGTTTTGTGTAAATGTTTTTGTTTTCCACGGTTGGAGGTGTAAAAGTGAAAAAATCACCTGATATATTCCATCGTATTCCCAACGTTTTCGTGGACGCATCTTCAGAGATATCCAACCAGTTAAGAGGCAATAAATTTTCTTGTGGAATATCTTTTATTATTGTATGATAATTTGAGGCCCATTTCATAAGTTGAAATCCAGCGGATTCGAGCGCTGCTACTAAGTCCTTCCGAGCTTTTATAGTCTCCTCAATTGTGTGTCCACCCGCAAGTACATCATCCACATAAAGATTTTGTCTTATAATTCTTGCAGCTCTTGGATACGAATCTTGAACATCATCTGCCAATTTCATAAGAGTTCTCAGTGCCAGAAACGGTGCGCAATTTACTCCAAATGTTACAGTTAGTAATTCATAGTCTTCAACTGGGTCTGTTGGCGATTTTCTAAACAGAATTCTTTGATATTTTGTTTGAGTTGAATCCAACAGTATTTGCCTATACATTTTAGTAATATCGGCGTTAAAAGCATACTTAAAAAATCTCCATTTTAGAATTTGTAGTACCAAATCTTGTTGTAAAATGGGTCCCGGAAACAATATGTCATTGAGACTTGTTTTGTTTGATGATGGGCAAGAAGCATTGAAGACGACTCGTAACTTTGTCGTGACTCGATCTGGCTTAATTACTGCATGATGTGGTAGATAATAATTGGGCATTTCGTCTCTTTCATCCGGATTGATCCTCCGCATATGACCAAGTTCTAAATATTCGAGTATTGAGGCATCATATTGTTCTTTTATCTCGGGCGTTTTCATAAGTTTTTTCTCCATTCTGTAGAATTGAGCTAAGGCGATGTTTCGGGAATTTCCTAATTCTTCGCATTTTTTGAATGGGAGAGTCACCACATATCTTCCATCCTTGTTTCGTATTGTTGTTTCAGTAAAATTTTGTTCACAAAATTGGTCTTCTTCTGACCGTAAAACTTTTTTAGGGGTTTCTTCCACCTCCCAAAATCGTGTAAGTACTTTCTCTATTGATGTTGTATTTAGAAGTGATATTTGTTTTCGTTGAAGAGTGCTTCCCGGTATGGGTCCTCCAACTATCCATCCAAATTTGGTTTTTTGAGTTAAAATTGATCCAAATGTTCTCATCGGAGTTCCAAGTGTGAATATTAATGGTCCTATGTCCATTCCAATAAGTAAATCAATGGGTTGACTAACGTAAAATTTCGGGTCAGCCAGTTCTAATGCTGTTACATCTCGAAGTTGTGATTCATCTAAGTTTTGTGGTGGTAGATTTGAAGGTAAATTCTTTAAAACTGGAGCCCATACTTCCAGTTTAAAGCTAGGGTCGTATTTGGATCTCATAGTAAACAAGCAAGATTTCGTAGATGTTTCGGCAACAAATTGACTAAGGCCGGTGATATGAACTAGATTGTTCCTTGTGGGTAATTTCAAGAGGTTTTTCATCTTCTCAGAAATAAAAGTGGATTGTGATCCTGAATCTATTAGAGCTCGGGCATCGTATAGTTGTCCTTTGGTTTCAATTTGTACTATTGCTGTGAAAAGTAGAGTTCCTCCAGATTGTTGCTCACTAATTCGCTCATCTTGGAGGGTCAAAGTGGTAATAGTAGTTGGTTCTAGGTTGGTAGTGGACTGTATGTGAGTTGAAAGAGCAGCAGCACTGGTACTAGGTTGTGCTTCCACTCGAGCTAGGTATGTGTTTGTGGTTTGGGTTTCCGACCCCTTGTGTAACAAAGTATTATGTCTCATAGTACAAATACGACAACCAAAGCGACTTTTGCAATCTCTTACTCCGTGGTTTGAAGACAAGCAGTTGTAGCATAAGTGTGACGTTTTCACAGTGTGAATTCTGTCATTTACACTCTTTTTTAAAAATTCGCTGCAATCCCTGATAAAATGGTTTGATTTGCAGACTTGACATGTTTGAATATTTTGTGATTTATTTTGTTGAGGTTGTGCTAAGTTGTTTCTTCCTCCAAAATTGGTTGTATTTTTTGCGACATTTGTTTGAAATGTTTTCAAAAATCTAGGTTTATTGATGTTATTTTGCTTCTGTTGAGCAAATTTTGATGTTGAGGGTTTTATATTCCCTACTGATTCCAAGGTTTTGAATTTGTTTGTTAAGAAATCGTCAAAATGTTCCCATTTTGGTATTTGTTTACAATCGCTTAATGAGTTCTCGAATTCTTCTAGGAAGCCTCTAGGTAATTTTGTTGAGCAAATGTATATTAAAATCGGATCCCATCCTTTTACATCGACGTCAAGCATCCCCAAAGTTTGAATACAGCTATTCACAGTGCGTTGTAGTTTTTGAATAGTGTGACTTGAGTCTGTAGAAACACCAGGTAGATTAAAAAGTGTTTTAATTTCTTCATTAATTTGCATCCTTTTGTTCTCATAACGATCCGTAAGATTTTTCCATGCTAGTGCAAATCCATCATTAGTTAGTGGAACATGCGTTATAATTTCTCGTGCTTCTCCTGCTGTCTTTTGAGTCAAATGGAATAACTTTTCGACATTACTTAATTTTGAATTGTTTATGTAAATTGCCGAAAATAAATCTCTGAAAGTCGGCCATTCTCGATAACCCCCTTTAAAAGTGTCTGTGTCGCATGGCGGCAGCCGTGATATTGGCGTAAAATCCACTTCCTTTCCTTGCTGTGACATCTCTGAATCTCTTTTCATTTTCTCCTGTGCTTTTTCATCCAAAATATTTTGAATTTGTCCATTTATTGAACTCAGCGCCTGTTTATATGATCCCATGGTATCCATATAATGTTTCCTCAGTTTATTTTTGTCGATGGTTTTTCCTCCTTCCTCTGGAACATAATCACGGCAGTCTAAATATGCCCTTTTGACCTGGTCCCATGCAGAATCCAACTCCATACGTGTTGTCTCCAAAGTATGAACCGTGTCATCCGGTTTGGTTATTGAAAAAATTGAAATATAATCCTGAAGATCGTTGACGCAGTTTGCGAATTTTTCGCTTAGGGTCCTATCCATTTTGATGACTGAGTATTAACCTTTACCGAAATTTTGTTGTGTTGCAAAAGGGAAAGGCAACCCAATGAAAAGGATTGACTTGGAATAAGATTCAAACTTTTATCCAAATTTTTATTTTTAAAAAATAAGGATAAGCTATCTTCTTCAATTTGATCAACGAAATCTATGTTAAATTTTTGGTTTGGGTCGAATTATATTTCGTTTTGTTCCAAAGACTTGAAAGTTCTTGCAAAATTCCAAAAACTTTACTTTGTATGAGACGCCGAAATAATTTTGTTTAAAAATGTTTGCTGGGTTGTCCAGAGAAGTCAAACTCAATCAAGATATACCAAGGTGTCATAAAATATCTTGAAATCCACTCACAAGGATATTTTATTTTAAGAAAATCCAGGGTTTTTTCCCAGCAGTAAAATTGTAGAAAATGAAAATTTTCAATAAATATTTCCAAAAATGAAAAATATTTCCTATTGAAATAAAAATGTGTGCTGGGTTGTCGAACAAAGAATCCTCAAAAATATTACCATAAAATTGCAGGAGTAATTTTAAATTTTGACGAGACAAAAATATTGCTATGAAAATTTGTTTGAGGCAACAAATTTTCTAAAAACGCTAGGTAATTAATTTAAAATCACAAGGTGCTAGTATTGGGTCAAGTTCCACAAATTTTTTTTTCCTCCAGAAAAATTCCAATAATTTGCAAAATTTTCCAAAAAATTTGTATATTCCAGCAAAATGTTTGTTGTGTCTAACTCCAATTAAAATTTCCACGAAAATCTAACTTTTTCGTTCAGCAAATTCTTTCCAAATGTTTGTTTTAGCAAAAAGCAAAAAAAAAATACCAGCAAAATATTTCTGCGAAAAAATGCAGAAATAAATTTTGGGTCCCAGAAATGTTTTTCTTGATTTAAAAATTTTAAGATATTTGTAAAATATAATAAAAATGTGTTATATTATATATGGGATCGATTTTTTTTTGTCTGTCCACAGACGCCAATCTAATTTTTTTTCCAAAAATCCCGAAAAAAAATTCTAGGTTAAGTATTGTTTCATGTCCGTCCACTAGACGCTATTATTTGCAAAATCCGTCTGTCCACCAAACGGTTGCTATGTATTTCGCTTATGTATTTTTGTGACGCCAAAAATGTTAAAAATATGGCGATTATATATTTTTATGTGACGCTAGATTTTTTTCCAATATGGCGTTTATATATGTGTCAAGCGACGCCAATTTTCCAATAAGATTGTTTTCTCCAATATGGCGTTTATATGTGTCAAGCGACGCCAATTTTCCAATAAGATTGTTTTCTCCAATATGGCGTTTATATGTGTCAAGCGACGCCAATTTTCCAATAAGATTGTTTTTTTTTTTCAATATGGCGCTTATTTATTTTTTGAACTGCACGTTCAGCAATTTCCAATATTACATATTTATGTAAATGAAAATTCGCGCTATTTTATAAGTACTTATTGCGCCTATGTGAGTCTATATTTAGATGTCCGTCCACAAAATGGCTCCAAAAAGGGAAATTTTCTCAAAAAAGTGTCTTAGAGGCAACGCAGCAACTTTAAAAAGTGGGAATCTTCGGGTCAATGCAAATATTGAGGATTTGCCAGCTCCCGGTATGCCCTTTATGTCCAACAAAAGAAATTTGGTTGAGTACTCACTTTGATGTGGCCTTTGGGTCTCAAAAAAAAATTCGTTGTTGTAGTGTTGCTCTTGTTGTTACTATTGTTGTTGTGTTGCCGGAGTCCTTCGTGGTCTTCTGGCAGCTTCCACAATTTTGCGTACTTCTGGATTTTATATTTAGTTTTTTTTTTTGTGATATTGTGTACTGTCACTTTTTTCACACCTTTTATTTTTGTATTTTGTCTTTTGTGTAGACCTTTTTTTATTGAAAAAATAAAAAATTTAATTAATTTTTGTATATTTTTGTAGCACTGTGTAATTTCTTTTAGTTCTGTAGCACCGTGTAATGTCACTTTGTATCACTTTTTAATGTCACTTTTGTAGCACTGTGTATTTTCTGTTTGTTTTGTAGCACTGTGTATTTTCTGTTTGTTTTGTAGCACTGTGTATTTTCTGTTTGTTTTGTAGCACTGTGTATTTTCTGTTTGTTTTGTGGCACTGTGTGTTGTCTCTTTTTTGTAGTAAATTTGTAAAAATATATATTTGTTTGTTTAATGTCACTTTTTTGTAGCACAGTGTACTTTCTATTTTTTTTTTTTTTTCTTTTTCTTTTGGTTGCACTTTTTTTTTCAACGTCACTTTTTGTTAATTTATTTATTTATATGTTATTATGCACTTTTGTTTTTGTTTCACTTCACTGTGTCTGTCCACTAAATTTTTTTTTGTTTTTAATATTTTAAAAACTTCACTTTATGCTCCGGCTCTGGAGGACCAAATGTTTTTTACTTCACCTTTTTTTATTTGTTATTTAATTAAAAGATGATGTTTATTTTTGCTTTTTTTTCCTTTTATTATTTTGTTTCAATTCTTTAAATTCAATTTGTTTCGTTTACACTTTTTGTTTAGATTTAGGTTTTTTTGTTCAATTAATTTCCTTTTTTTTGTACAATGTTTTGTTTACAATTTTTTTGTTTATTTGTAGTTTTTTGTTCAATTTGTTCAATTTTTTTTTTTGTACAATGTTTTATTTTCAATTTTTTGTACAATGTTTTATGTTTTTTGTATTATGTTTTTTTTGTTAACACTTTGGTTTTTTTTGTTTTTGGGCACTGTTCACTTCGGGGGGGAAACTTGCGTACGCGCTTTCAAATTCGAGACAGAACTGATCTAACTCAAATTTGCATCGTCACAGCAAACCTGTTTTGGCTGGTGACGATGCTTATTTATTTAAATTCAGCATTGGAATTTACCGGTGGCTGCATATATGTGCATGTGTGTGTGTATATGTACATCATTTTTTTATGATGTTATTTATGCAGCCATCGGTAATGTAACAAACAACACTGTTGCGCAAAAATCTAGCATCTTTTATGAACACAGACTTAGGTGTAGATGACATCTGCTGATTCCATTTTTTTTTTCGAAGATAAACGGTGAGAGTATTTCGTTGTCTATATTTTCATTTGTCTATGCAAAGAGTTTCCCATGGAATATCTGTGTGTTCACCAACAAAATTGTAAAAAATAAATTGTTTTGAATTTTCTTTCAAATTGGATTTGTGAAGAATATTTAGTTTTGTTCGAGCAGTCGATGAGGAAGGTGATGTCGGATATTTTTATGAATACATAATTGAAACAAATATACTACATATTTGAAACGAATATTTCCAAAATTGTAAAAATTACAATAGTTAAGATTTCTCTTTTTTGATAGAATTCTATTTGACATAATTTCACATGTTTGGAATAGAAATTCATTTCATATTGATCGACAAATTCATTGACCTTCCAAATTAGTGGAAATTTGCATATCATGAAATGATATGCACGTTCTTAGTCAATATTGGGAAAAATAACTGGATATGATGTTTGACATTCTGTTTGTTGTTCATAGAAATAATTTTTTAGCACCCAACACAGGATATGAGTTTTTGATCAGCGTAACATTCTATGTATGTCTGTATGTCAGCCTGTGGCAATCGGTATTACTTTTAAAAGGGCCAACTTAGATGGTTAGCATGTTATGTCCGAAATTATTAAACACAAAGTTATATAAAATTTTTGAAAATGTCAACTCATATGTTTTTGAAGGACATTTATATCATCTTTTTTTATTTTAAAGTGAATCAGAATTGAAATAATTGTTCAAATATAGCTCCGAACTGTCTGATCCAAATATTCATTTTTACCCACGAAGTTGTTTTAAAAACAGAAAATTTAAAATTGAAAAATTAAAAGTGAGAAATTATTCCTCTATGTTTAAAGTGACAAAGAAACACTTGCATTTTTTCAAAACACATACAATCACAACATAATTTTGAATTTCTCTGCCTGGCCCTGCTTTATTTATTTTTAGTGGAGGAAGCTCCATTCCATAAATAATTTGGACCCCAGAATCTAGCAATATTGATATAATCTTCTCAGTGACAGTGCGATAAACCTTTTAGAAACCTTAAATTCTTCCATCGATGAAAAGTAGATAATTTTCTTTAGCCATATGATCGCTAGCACCCGCGGCTATTTTATTAAACGGTTCACCCCGTTTTATTTAATTATGGCAGTATTTTCAGGCTTTATATTTTCTCTTGTATTAACCATAAAGAGAGTGGATTTGAATTTTGCTGATGTTCCCTCTGCTCGTCAACAATCTTTAGCTTGATAACCGAATTTGTTGCATTTATAGCACTTTACGAATAAACATCTTTTAATGATGAACTTTTTGATTGAAAATGAGAACTTTTTGATTGGAAATGAGATCTGCGGTCGATCTTTTCCGCAAATAGTTGGCTCTTTCTTCATCCTGAATAAACCATAAACAATTAGGTTCTTATCCTTCCTCCGGTAGGATTTTCTTTGCGTCGCCAATAACCTCTTGCAATAGCAAAATTAAACACATTAAATATTGAAGAACTGATAAAAAAAATATTTTTTAAGACTAAAAAAAAATTTTTTTTTTTCGGAACATACAAAATTTTGTTGCAGCACGTCAAGCAATCCCTGGGAGATCGTGGAAAAAGCTAGATCCTTTTCAAATTGGAATCAAATTATACATATTCATGTACATATTTATTTACAGTGGAATCAGTTCAATTAGATCATGACCAAATATAAAGTTGGTCCACACGTTTCATGAAATTAAAACCATGAAGGTACCCGTTTTGGAGAAGCCTTTGCATATAGCGCGTTTATATTCAAAATAACCTGTTTCCTGTTGACAAATATTTCGGACTCAACTTTTCAAAATTAATCAAGTTTAATAAACACGCTCAACTAGCACTAGGGAACTGCAAAGTTAAAGCTACCTTTTTTTCTGTCAAATAATAAGTTTTCTTCCAATAGAATCCAAAACGATTATATGCTTTCCCGGAGAACGAATTTTCAATATTGGGAGGAAAATAATTAGTTTATCAAATATAATGATAGGGCTACCAATACACCGCTGGCTTCCTATGTTATAACTACGGACACAGCGTTTTCGTCTTTCTCCTAATCCTCTGATAGCAGAGGTTCTGGAAAGCCAATCTTCGATCAATTAGTCAAACATCTATTATATTCCAAAGCTCGGATTTAAAAAAACATAAATAGGTGCAAGCTTCCTGATATATAAATTTTTACACTTAGCCTCTACATAGCGTATGCAGGGCCTTATCTTAGTTTTAAGTTTGATTGGAGCACATCTCTTTATGTTGGGTTAACGCCGGGAGCAAGCGCATTATATTTTACATTATTCACACATTCACATGAGTGATTATCATTGATTGTTATTATAATGATATATAATGTTATTTACCACAATAATATTTAATGGGTTTGGCAAAAAATACATTATAATAAATACATCATTTACTGGACTTTTCAAATCCAGTAAAATTTTTGAAAAATTATTTCATTATCAAACAACACCATTTAAAAATTAAAGTTATATGTTTGCATGATATCACATAGAGAAATTATTTCATGGTACTTACACTCATATATGCATATGTACTTACATTAACCAATAATACCAGTATTTACATTAAGTACCCAATGATGTTTGGTTATATTGACTTTATTAATAAACACGATATTATGGAAATCTACATGTCTTCTGCTTCACGATACAAAAACGTTGCAGATAATCTTCCAATTGCAGCGACAAGAATATCCTATAATGTGTATCTGAACATCGGCATATAGTATCGGCCTGTAAATTAAGTATTAACAAGACCATGTTTTGAATAGATAGATAAGTATTTAAGGATTGAAAAACTGTCAATTGTAGAGTTTAAAATATATACTTGCTAATTTATTATTATAATTCTTATTGCTTTTTGGTTAGATGAAACAAATATGTATGGAGTTATATAATGCTTTTTAATAGATCCCTTATTCTACGCAGAGGAAAAGGCATAGAACTTTTTATTTTGACAGTGATAAGTAGATACGACGACCTGACGAATTCGACCGTGTTCATAATTATGGTTCGAAGCGTCATTTCTTTCACAATTTTTCTAACAATAATTTATTTAAACTGAATATTCGAATTACATAGTTTTAACATACATGTATGGTGACTACATACTAATCAACAAATGTTTAAACCCTTGGGGTTTTGTATTCCAGCATTAACACATTGAATGTTCATTTCAACATTTAATGCATTTTTATTAACCTTTTCTCTCGATACTTTTATAATTTTATTAACAAATTGATAATTTAATAAGTGTGTATGTTTCAACGGAATCTCAAGTTTTTTTCAAGGAAGTATTTTTTACGTTTTCATACAATAATGTTGTACATTATTTTATATTATATTTACATGAAATAACTTAAAATATAAACTCAAAAAAGATAACTAAATATATTAAAATGACTTGGTGAGCGCCGCTACTAAAGGGTGGTTGATAAAAAAAAACACATGAAAGTGGGTTGTAAACACGCAACTTTAAATAATAAACTGTGCTTTTTCCCACAAATAACGAATTATCATGCGCAGCTTTGGAAAAATTCAGTTTTTCTACACTGCTTGGTTAGAGCCGCGATTCCGAAATTTGTAAACCTGCACAATCTAATGATGGACTTCGCCACATTAATTTTTGCATTAGGTACAAATGCAACAAAAATAATTAACATTGAAGTGTATGTACAGGGTCCGCCATCTGACGTTTTTTTTCAACTAGTGCTTATTTCGTGAATCCCCTGTAAACCTGATTTGAAAGATACACTTGAACATGGCTGCGAAATATTGCGATATTACTTTGATATTTATGGTAGAATGTGTTTAGAAACAGTGACAGTGATTTTCTTCCCCGGTTTGTATACAAGTAAAAGTATCGCAATTAAAGCACCAATCGCAAACATTGAAAAGCAGATACACCCAAAAAGATTCACTGTTCGCTGCGGATTATGGTCTAAAGGCATAATTGGGTCATTTCTCTTCGAAAATGAGCAAGAGCCACGTTGAATGAATTTTTGTTCACAAAAACTGAAGAGAAGAATATTGTGCAACATTTGGTTTTAAAAGGACGGCGCTACGTGCCACTTAATCGAAGCTACAATCGATTTTTGTGCCTTGTTTTTAGAAATCACATTATTAGCCGCATAGCTGATATTGATTGTCAAACTCGTAACGACGATTTGACACCTTTGGACTATTATTTGTAGGATGTCGTCAAATATAAGTGCTTAAAATGTGCTTAAGAGTTGGGCCGACCTTGTAGGTTACACATGGCCAGCCGAGGCTGCCATTTGAATAAAATTATTGTTCACTATTTATATTGAGAAAATATTCAGTATTTTATTATTATTATTTTCAAAAATAAAAAGTTTTTTGGCGGACCCTATATGCCAACGAAGTGTTCAAGTTTCAACATTTTTAATTCGTGGTGGCCAATCGTGTAGGTTACGCATGGCCAGCCGAGGCGGCCTTTTGAATAAAATTATTGTTCACTATTTATTTTGAGAAAATATTCAGTATTTTTTTATTATTATTATTATTAGAGGCTGCCATTTGAATAAAATTATTGTTCACTATTTATATTGAGAAAATATTCAGTATTTTATTATTATTATTTTCAAAAATAAAAAGTTTTTTGGCGGACCCTATATGCCAACGAAGTGTTCAAGTTTCAACATTTTTAATTCGTGGTGGCCAATCGTGTAGGTTACGCATGGCCAGCCGAGGCGGCCTTTTGAATAAAATTATTGTTCACTATTTATTTTGAGAAAATATTCAGTATTTTTTTATTATTATTATTATTTTCAAAAAGAAAAGGTTATTTGGCGGACCCTGTATGCCAACGAAGTGTTCAAGTTTCAACATTTTTAATTCGTGTTTCGAACGTTTGACGTACGACACGAGAAAAAAATTCCATACACTTGCCAAAACAAAATAAAAACAAAATTAAAAGCTTTTCGTCTGTATAATTTGCTATATTACGTTTTTATAAATAATTAAATGGTTTGCATAGTTTTGTATAATAGTGTAATCAAAAATAAATATACACTAAATTAACTAAGAAACAAAGCTATTCATAACTATATATTATGTATTTGCTTATAACGAAATAGCTAAAGCTATTAAATTTCTATTTCGTACAAATTCTCTGATAATTTTACAAGTTCTATAATTGCGTTATGCTTTTCGTAATCAGAGATCAAAAACTAAAAATGTTATAAATAGTATTATTTTAATAATTTGTATAATTGTTCTAGTAGTCTGGATATGTTCATATTAAAATTGATTAACTTGTCTTCAAGTTTGTAATATATAGTCTTAAACGCACGACGACTTTACATGGGAGAACATAATTATTTCAGATAAAGGACACGTTATAGTATTGTTAAACTTAAATTTGATATCAACACTTTGGCTGCGATAAAACACTCATTCTTATATGACACTTATGTGCATGTTTTCCTTATGTATGACATTTCTGTGCATGTTCTCCTCATACAAAGTGGATTTCATAGAATGAGACTCATCTGGCTCCTTTATAACACTACAATCGTCGTTAAGGACATTTGGAACATTAGGCCAAACAAAAAGGTAGATTTTGTTTTGAAAAAAGTATTCAAATAAAAGAACAAAAAATAGTCTAGAAAATTCATATTGCAGTGCAATACTAGGGGAGGAAATAGTTGACCCCCGAGAAACAACAAGTAAATAAACAAAAATTCGATCAAAAATTCTAGGATAAACAGCAACTTAAATTTAAAGGGCACGAGAAATTCGTATTAATGGTACATACTTATGTTAATTTAGTGGAACGATTAGATATAGAGGGAAATTGACAAAAATCGAAGATCGAATGACAGATTACCATGCACAGCCATTAAGATTGTATGTTAATTCAATCGTGAGAATTTCATTAACTAGAGAGTACACACTTCTGAAGACACAAAACGAACTTTGCCAATAATTGTGTTGCACATAGGTTTGGCAAACTTGCTATAAAATAATCTCCGTGGAACGCCGTTCTTGGGCAGCATTCAGTAGTGGATCACAGCTGAATGGCTCACCAATCAATGGAGAAAACTTTGGGTTACGCTTCAAGCGCCCGCTATTGGGAGCTGAGGTTGTGGATGTCGTTGTTGTAACAACACTGGACCCATTGGTTCCACACAGTGCTGTGATGGCTGACAGCGATTGAACTGATGAAGGCGGCTGCGACAAATTTGATGACAACAATTGTGATTTCGGGATTTGCATGGAAAGTGGAGGGAATTTCGCTATTGTTACTATGGAAGTTAGAGTTGCGGAAGAACTATCATTGCTGCCAACACTCAGATCTTGTGGTTGCGTGGGTAGACGTAACTGCTGTTTTCTTCTGGCCAACGCTGACAAACTATCATCGGGCGGTTGAGAATTCTCCTGCAGAATGGCGGATTGACGTATAGTCTGCTGTAGCAACGAATTTACATCAATCGCTGGCCATGTGACCAGCGAAACACTTCGTCATAAATAGGAATCGCTTGGAGATTCAGAACGTTTATGACGATGGTGTTTTCCGAAATGTTTGCATGGTTTTCGCGATTTTTTATCATGATCTTCACCATCAAATGTTTCACCTGCAACATCTACTCGGGCAACTTCTGTAGATTTTTGCAAAATAACTGCATGCCTGGGAGTTTTATTTGGTGTCGTTTGTGAGTGCGGCTGACTGGACGATAAGGAATAATAATCAGCTGAATGACTATGAGAGGATGTGTCATCAGTCAACGGCTGGCTTATGCTTCTCATAGTGACGTCTCCTTCTTCCCCGACTGGCGTAGACACTGCAGATGATGGGTTAGTCAAAGGTGTCAAGGTACTTGAATGTTGTTCGTCAACATCCAGACAGGCGACTTTACCAATCGAAGATGTACGTATAGTTGCGTCCTGCGCCGTACACATTTGTCCTGTAGCCGAATCTTCGCCACAACAGCATGGAGCATTTGAGGTGCACGAACAGAAACTTGTTGTAATACTACTGCGACGACTGGTGGGAGCCGAGCTATCGGTGGTGTCTTGAATTAAAGGTTGGGGAAGTACTTCGTCTGAAATGAAAGGGTTATCATTATTGCCGGTATAGTCAGTGCTTGACACTGCTGAGTGTCGTTTGGTAGCACAACGGTGGCAATCTGCGGATACAGTAAACGACTGGGTGTTCGATGTGATTCCTGGCCATTCCTCGAAACTGCTGCAACTACTAGTATGTACGTGGGAACATGAACAGCTAGAACATCTGGAGCAACTGCTACAGCAGTCGTCTGCAGCAATGAAACGCTTGCGCTTTATTTTGACGCATTCATTTTTAGGTTCCGCCACCGCACTGGCTAAAAATTTCTGGCCGCTTTCATAAGAATGCCAATACACACACTGACATCTATAATCTCCTTGAGGCTGGTTTTCTTCAGCTTCCTCATTAGAAAATTCATCAGTCTCGGCGGTCGTATTTGAGTTGATCGAAGATCTTCTCTTCATATGCCTGATAACACCTCTGCTTTCCTCATCAGAGTCGGCATGAATAGGAGCACGAATAATCGGAACGACAGCGTTGTCGGCGGCTACTTTGAATGCAAAATTTGATGTGGCCGTTGTACTGTTGTCTTCCGTCATTGTCGCAGCGTCTATTTCGATTGCTATCTCTTGCAAGGCCGTCGATGAAGATAAATGATGATTGGGATGGTTATGTGGATCATCACTAGATTCGGAAGACTTGGTATAGATATTTGGAAGGTGTTCCATAGAAGAGCAGTGTAAGTTATGGGCTTGTTGTTTCATAGGTCCGTAACGGGATCGATTCTCGCTCCAACATTTGTTGTGCTTGCGTCGCATAGGACACTCCTTTATGCCCATCGGAGGTCCTTGGCCTTCGTGATGTTTATGATCCGTCGAACGAGATCGTCCACTATGTCTGTGATGGTGCTGGCACTTGTATCGACAGTAATGGGAGGTAGAATTTGGTAAACGATGGCAGTGGCACACTTGTTCTTGGGCATTTGGACAATAACATGATGCGGGTGACCTCCTTAGGCAGATGTATTCGCAATGGCATTGCAATAAATTATTGCTATGATAATACGGGCGTTTTTCCCAATTTATTAGTGAAGTTGGTGTCTGCGTGGCATTATGGCGTTTGCGTGTCTCGCCGCCTGCCTTAATATTATTTTGTTGGCTTGTGCATGCGCACACTTGGTCCACTTTGAAGTCTGCATCTTCCTGCGGTGGCTTCTTAGAAATTTCGTGTATTATTACCACATTTAATTTATCTCCAACAACGGTTGTCTGATCTACTTGGCTAGCTTGTTTCGTTGTTTTACTATCGGAAATGCTTCCCACGGCCTTTTTTCGACCTAAAGTGTTATTATTGTGAAATTGAAATGCACGATTGTCGTGATAACTCTTGTATTCGTCCTCTGCATGTGCTGTCAATAGGTGGTCGTCACCGCTTCCACTGCTCGTTATGGTGTTGTGGAGTGATTGGCTAATACTGTCTGCTGAAATGTTGTTGGTATTAGAATTTTGTTCTTGTATTTGTTGTTGCTGTTGTTGTTCTTCGGGGGCAAACTGCTAATCTCCACGATGGATATCGCGAGGCTTGGAATTGTGTCGATATATCCATACTTGCATGAGTATGGCCAAGTCTAAGCTGACCTGTAAACAAAAGCCAAATGTACTCTTTTCTACAAAAATGTCAATTCGCTGAGTAAAATTACCTGTAATGTTCCACAAATCCAAAACTGGGATGGTGCTTTTCTAGCTATGAAATAACCAGTTTTGAACATATCACCAAGAGTCCACATTAAAACCATATGGATGCTCATTCCGTAAGTTGACTTATTCTTAAAATTTCGAATAAATTGTGGCGCTCCTATATTAGAAGAACAGATTTAACACATTCAATTATATTTGTAGTCATAGATTAAGAATGAGATTAGAACAAACCTAACATAGCTTCTGTAAAAACCGCTACAAATCCAACAATTTCCATAAACCAATCTACGGAAAGCATCAGGTATGTTACAGCTGCGCCGACTGCCCAAACGACTAACATAAAATCCAAATATGACTGGAAATCGGTCCAATTCCAGAAGTATTTGAGGTCGAGATCTAAAAACCAAACGTCAGTAAACATGCTTTATTGATATTAGGTATGTACGATAATAATAAAAATTACTGAGTAACATGTACTGAGAAAACAATATCTCGGGCGTGCAAATTTTGCAAAAAGTTATGGAACAACATTTTTGTAAAATATAGCAAGAAAACATTTATTTCTTAAAATGAATACCTTAACATTTGTAGCTTTTGAGAAAACCAAACCATGTCGGTTTGCTGACAGATATACATATACGTTCAGCATTTGACCATTTATTTATGTATAGCGTTTTGGGACGTATCATAAAGATTGAAAGATGATGGTATATATATTGCAATGTATAAATTCTAAAGATAACCTTAAAATATTTTATGAGTTACGATTGTTTGAAATAAGAATAGCATTTTTCGAAGTCAAAAGAAATCTCGGTGAATTATTTTGCATTTTGTGGGAGTTTTAATTATTCTAACCTGATCTAGGGTTGGGGATGTGTGAAATTTGAAGACAATCGGAATTCTATATATAAGAATTATGATTACTTAAAAGTTTAGAGGAAAATATTAGAAGGAGTGGATAGGAATCCATCCATCCCTCTGCAAAACCGGCAAGTACGTTCTTACTTGATATAGATTAAAGAATTTAACATTAGCAAGATTGTGCACAACTCTCGGCCGAATGAGCTTGAAATTTGAATAATCAGTGATACATTGCAAACTCGATTGAAAATAAAAAAATCACAAGTCTAATTGTTCAATTCAAATAACTTTTTCCTGAACAAACATACGTATACAAACGTTGATATATTTCGTCTAATGCGACAAAATCCTGAGAAACCTTCGAAAAATTCATCACGATGTAACTCTTAGCATTTTGCAAAAATGTCAACCCCAATATTGTTGTGCACATTTATTTGGTAAAGGCAATTTTTTTGCACCAATCAGAACCATGGCAAATTATACATATACACCCTTCCATTGCAGCAAATCCGACAATTGCAGATAATCGGCATTTATGTCCTTTTTCATCTAAAGTAAATAAATTATATTATGATTACGTATTGTAATTTGTAGGCATTTATGTCCTTTTTCATCTAAAATAAATAAATTATATTATGATTACGTATTGTAATTTGTAGGCTTACTTTGGATGTAATAATCTCGGCTCCACTTTTGTTAGAATGTCCGTTAAGATAAATTTAAATTTAATTAGCAAAGACACAAACCAAGGTGATTTTTCTCCGGTTCGCAAAGGGTTAATAAAGCCCAGCCTCGACACCGCTTCATTTTTGTTTCTGTTCTGTGGACGCTTTTATCTGCAATTTCCCTAAAATTGAGCGATAATTCTTCAGAAAATGCAAAAAATTCCTAAGTCTGAAATTCTTTTTGACTATAAGGCCCACTGATTCGGAAAGTACTCCTCGAGACCTTTCATTTGTGCCCAGCCTCGACACCGCTTCATTTTTAGTTTCTGTTCTGTGGACGCTTTTATCTGCAATTTCCCTAAAATTGAGCGATAATTCTTCAGAAAATGCAAAAAATTCCTAAGTCTGAAATTCTTTTTGACTATAAGGTCCACTGATTCGGAAAGTACTCCTCGAGACCTTTCATTTGTGCCCAGCCTCGACACCGCTTTATTTTTAGTTTCTGTTCTGTGGACGCTTTTATCTGCAATTTCCCTAAAATTGAGCGATAATTCTTCAGAAAAATCAAAAATTTCTAAGTTTGAAATTCTTTTTTCGGTTATAGTAGTAAATACTTTGACATTTTTTGCAGTTCTGGAACAGACCAACAGTGCTTGTAGTTATTCAAATATTCTTGGGATATAACATGGTAGATTTATTGAAATTTGTAAATATTGTTGAAAAATTCATATCAAAACAACCTCCGATTGGCGTCGTATAGGAATACATATACAAATCTACTAATTTTTGAAGAAACATTAAACATTTTTTTTACATATCAATGTTCCTAAGCGTAGATGCATCTACCTGTATTCTTCTACCATGGGATATAATAAGCTTGACTCCACTTTTGTTAGAATGTAAATACCGATCATACATGCTCTGTTCCAGCATCTGCAAGAATATACTAGCTTTGCAATTTTCTTCCACATCATAAAGGGAAAATCGGTTATTGTAGCAACCAACAGTGTTTTTAGTTAGCCAAACATGAAGTCCTTGTTTCAACGCCGTTAGAGAACATGGTTAAGATCATAAGAATACCGAATATTGTGATTGATTGAGAACATTAGAATCAAATTCACCTTTGAAAATCTTTGACTATAGCCAAGTGATCATGTCGAGGATTGTAGCTAACCCTTGGAAGAAAAGTGGACGAAGACTGCCACACAAACAACAATGAGTAATTGTCCCGTACACCAAATTAATTGCTGTATCAATGTGAGGTCCTTTTGTTTTAGAACAGATCAACAGAAGTAACATTTGTAACAGTTTTGTATGGTCATTCCATAATCAATTTCTGCTGAATGATAGACCCAAAATTCTCATCCGTTGATGAATATTGATAGTAATTTGATCGAGGACATTGAATTAAATTGACATTTTCTCCTGTGAAATTGGTGAAGAAGTTATATTTTATTAGAAGGGATCACAGCTCCTACATCCCTAGCCCAACATTGTAGTGAACGGCTAAGCTATTTAAATTTACTTCACGAGTTGTGTAAAGAATTTATGTATATATTGCAGAGTATAACTGAGATAGGTAAACCGTGGGGTACACCGTTATCCAAAGGCAAAGAATTAGAAAAATAGCCATTAACTCATACTAGCATACGTTGAAATGATCAAAAAGATGGTATTAATGCAATAACTTGAACTTGTACACACAAACTATGAAGTTCGTTAGTATACTGCTGTATACAACACGGTCTAATTTTTTTTCTAAATTCGCTGAGTTAAGCACGCTGTGTTTTCTGCGGTTTGTATTATCACGTAATGTACACACCAGGTTGTGACACAGTGTATGTACACCGTTATGTGGATGAAAGGCGATTTTACCTTTTTCCATAAGAAATCTGTTCCATGTCAGTCTTTACATTACATTCACGTGTAATTAACGCACACATTCTTCTGTAATATAGACTATTTTTAGTATTCCTAACTCATCTGAATATTCCCCGTGCTCTTTGTCTAATGCGAACTAAACTTGACAGTTCATTGTTACAATATTGGCATTATTTTATTTTTTGGTTCGCGACTAATTGGAATTGACTCGTTGGCTAATTTTCAGAAAAGCCGTTGTATTTGTGACGTCTCTCTATTTATGTGAAATCAGAATTGAAACGTAATAATTTAGTTTGAAAATGTGGTCAGTTTGCCTTTTTATTTTGAAAACAGAAAATAAACTTCTTTCACTTAGGGAGGATGTTAATTTTGGGTTTTATGAGCTTCAAGGATATTCAAATTTTGACCCGTAGTGGGAGAGGTACAAAATGGTGTGGACCGATATATCCCATCTTCACACCAGACATTGGTTAAATAAAAATATTGTGATGTGTGAAATACGAAGAGAATAGAAAGCTTTTTTCGCATTTTATAATCGTTTTGCTTATTTAAAACGTTGACCATTTGTGGTGGAAATATTAGGATTTACAAAATTGGAGCAAAATCGGATTATCGCTTCTCTTTCTGTGCAAAAAATATTTTTTGGAACGGATCGACCTTGGGTTGATAAAAATATTGGGATGTGAGAAATTTGAAGACGGACGGACATCGCTAGATCGACTTCAAATGTCCTGAAACGGATTTGGTCCAAAGAGTCCTAGGGTCTAAAACCGTTATTTCGACTAGGCATGTTTGGACCGTATATATACCCTCTCTTTTTTGGATATATACCCTCTCTAGCCATATGGCTGAGGGTATGAAAAGAAAATCAAAGTAAATCATCTCAGTATCAACACATAAATGATTTAGTACCATCATAATTTTATCTTCTAAACACAATCGAAATTGTTAAAAAGGCCTTATTTTGCATATTTTTCATTTTAATTTCCTGTTATTATTATTATTTGCATAGCTATAAAGTAGAAAAGGAGTTAAAAATTCCCAAACTTCGTAGTACGCATTAATATAAAGTGTTACATTTATAACTATTATGAAAATGAAATATAAATTTGTCTATTGTACGACATCCAAAAATTACTTTTCTGCTATCTTCGAAACAAATTTAATTCAGAAAATGTGGTCTGTGCGTTTCTTACGTTTTAAGTAAATATTCTCTTAAACTCATATCAAAAATGTTTAAATAAATATACAAATTCATACGACGTTTTCAGACTCAAAACTGTCCTTAGGCATAAGCAAAATAAATAAAGTTCTAAATAATTGCACACACACACAGTTCAACAAAATCTACCTAGTGACAAGGTACATAGTGTGGACTATAAAAGTTCCGGACAACTACATATCTATCGCATTATACAAACTTTATCATACATACCACTTAAATAATGTCGTGACCGACTCCGTTTTAAAGGACCTGCTTCTGTAGATATAGAAATGGATCCGGCCGTGTCTGCATCTGTCATCAAAACCTTTGGCAAACGCATCTCATCATTTGCTGCAAAGCAACATATATACGATATGTTGATGAATAAGAACATAAACATTTAAGTGGCAAGCTACAAACCTGATAGATTGCGTTCTCTGGCATTAGCATTGACTCGTTTAACTTTGACGCACAAATGTATCATTAGGAACATAGTCACATTCATAACTAGGCTTTGCACGAGAAGCGGAAGCTCATAACGCTTTGAGAACCTAAAACGAAACGTAAAAACAAGAGCACAATCACTACAAAATTTTGGGTTTTCTTTTTATATTCCAACAACCAAACCTCACCAACATTTGTAAACAGTAGTATAATAAAATAGAGATTGAAAAAACCCCCTTTCTGTGAGTACGTAGGACAATTGCAAATCAGTTGCAGATAAGCAGTTGTATAGGCGTATTAAAATAAATTTCGTTGTTAAAGAGTAATATGTCTCTTTTGTGTCCCACTATTTTTATTATTACAAATACAAAACCCCTTCTCTTAAAATTATTTCATTGTAAGTATATATTAATTAAATCCTTTAAAATCCTGAATTTTGTTCAATAACTTTTTGCAAATATTTGTAGGTAAGGGAGAATATTCTACTAGAAAAGGATACTGTGGAATTTTTATTAGAAATGTTATCGTACATACCTATTGACAACAAATTGTAATTTTGACAGCTATACATTAATTAGTTAAATTAGTAAAATATTCAAATTATTGCTAGATATTTATAAAATGTTAAGATCAGCCGCTACACAGTTGACTAAAGATCAAAGTTAGAGAAGAGCCAATTTGAAGCTGGCAATCATATTTTTATTTTTACACCGCTAAGTTGGCGGATCAAATATCATTATTCTTACTTCTTCCCATTTTTATGTCGAATCAAATATTTAAATTTGAATTAAGACAGAAATGACATACAAAGACATAACGCTATTCACGGCATTACGAATAAAATATATGTTATTTGTGTCAATATGTTTCTCCATTACTCGACTCGAGGAACATAATAATATTTTTTTTTAATTTATAAAAATGTTATATTCGCAATAACTGAAGAATTCAAAAACAAAAATGTTTATTTGGCGACATTCGTGACCGACATCTTTTCATTAACATGTGGTTTAAATGTATATGTGCTTGAAATGACACTAACCTGATTGTCCAAAATTTTGCAGATGTCAAGGAACTGAAGCATATAGAGTTGAATCACTTATGTATTCCCATGTATTCCTTTTTCTATTACCTCATGGTTATTGATCAACACTTTTGCCATATTAATACTAGAAACCAGGCAATCAATTTTGAAAAAAAAAAAAAACTGTTCAGATGGAAATATAGCTCTAAAATATTTGTTTCGTCGCAGAGGACTTTGAAACATAATTTGAGCTTCGTACATAAAAAAATCATGGAAATATTTGCTGGATGAGGAATAAATGAAGAATCTTAGAATTTAAATTGCACATAAAACAAGAAGAATGTTTCTTATTCAACTAAAATTGAATTTTGAAAGCAATTTTTTAGTTTTAAATTCAATTTGACAACCAGATGTATTAAAAAATTCATTTGGAGTTGTGTTTTACCATCAGAATACATAAAGCCAATTCTACATAAATACGTTGAAGGGTTTCTGTATTACGAATGCGATAAAAACAATTTTTTTAATCTTTTCTTAATCTTGATTATTAAAGAAAAAACAAAAATAATTGTGACCCCTTTATAATAAGGGTGCGTTTGTTGTATAAATTTTGTGTAACATCGAACACGAAATGTCACATGGTCATAGGCCGTTAACAAGTTCATACAAAAAGGAGAGATATAAAGAGGAAAATTGGTTATTAGTATCCGTGTTTTAGTTCACATATACGAAAAAATATACAAAACCATGAATTCTTGTTTTTGGCCGACTTATTTCGGTTTTGCGTTTCCTTCAATTCGTTTGACACTTTTAAGTTAAATGTTAATGACGCTGAAGGCATAGGGCTATTTAGGATTACATTTGTGATAAACCATATTGTATTAGTAGGTAGTTCTGACAGTGTATAAAATCGTTGTTTGCTCAGAAAATTTTGTGTGGAGAATCGAGTATATATTTAATAATAAAATGCCAAAAAAAACATACGTTGATGTTGGGTACCTCTGTGAAATAAATCTAAGTAGAGCTGTTGGTAGGTCCAGACGGAACTAATACATGGGGCTACATATCAATCGGAATCAATATCCTCCCGTTCTTCGTACCAAATATCAATGTTAGCGACGACAAATAATTTGAGTGATAGCAATATATGATTTTTTTTATCGATTTATTAAAATTACAGTGCTTTGGTGGTAAATCGGACATTTGTAGAAACAACGCGTTTCAAATATTCAAATTCAATACAACAACAAGCATGTTTGGGGATTTGTTAAGCACCTTTTTGGACCGCAATAAATAAAATGATGAAGCCCTTTGAGCTGTTGTGGTAAAATAGTGATTGCAAAGAATTAAAGCGAGTACCGCCGCTAAAGAACAACGGAAAATATCGATGACGCAGTGGAATTCTTTAAGGTTTATTAGCGGCTGAAATGTTTGTTAATAGCCTTCTGGCCGTTATTGCCCTAAACTTATTAATCGATGAAGCTCAGACAACGACAACAAACTTTCCTGACGAACTGAGTGCGCAAGCCACCTTTATTTCGTTTGTGCTTCAATACAGTTCGAATATAGACTGTGTAGTAATATAATAATAATTTTCTAAACATTTTTCAAATGATAATACATACAGAATCATATTTAATTGTCCGGAGGAAGAATAAGAGAAATACGGATAAGAGAAATACAAAAGGAACGGGAGGAACGTGCCCAGCACACTAGACAACGATTGGCTTTCTGAACTAAAGCAACGGACCAGCCACGCGGACTGGGTCAGCTAGAACTATATTAAACATGGACCTACTCTTAAAAATATCTATTCAAAATATAGTGAACATTTCCAGAAAGACTACATATAATTTCCGTGAAATATAATGCAATTACTATCAGACACACAAACTTTAGCAAAACAGCAAGTCATTCCAAGCCAAGTGATAAAACAGTCAGTGCCTTTTATATACAAGTGTACGATAAGTGGCAATTAATTACCACGATTGTTATGGAAATTTGACAGACTGTTCACAAACGCGATATTCCTTATCGTCTTAAGTTTGCAGGAAATAATATCGCTTAACACTTAATGACCAAAGACAATTTTCAAATTATCAACATTTCTAATATTTTGACATGTGCACACATGAATATTGAACTTCTCTCATCAAAAATGAATTAATTAGAATGTGACAATATCACCCTGCAATCGAATAGGTAGATTAACCACTGTTTGTTCATATAGCAAATATGTCTATGTGAATTCAATTAGGCAAACCTTAGGGCCGACGATGGAGTGTAGGACAGTTGTACCAAAGGAAACATTTTTTTTTTTTTTTGAAATTCGAACTATTCGGGAGAAATGGACGAAATAAATAAAAATAAAAAAATCACTACATTTAGTACCATATGGTATTGAACCAATGGATACTGCTTAAATACTGAAATATGTACACATACTGTTTATGTGTAGTATTGAGATTTGGAGGTATTTTTGGAAATACTTACTAAAAAGAACGAAAATAAGTAAATGGTACTGGTTTTTGGGGGAAGAAATAGACTTGGAAATCTAAATTCGATATGGGTTACTTTTTGTGCGGTGAGTTTGATATATGGAGGTGAGTTTGGAAGTATTTTTGAACGAAAATAATAAATGGTACTGGTTTTAGGGGAAGAAATAGACTTGGAAATCTAAAATTCGATATGGGTTACTTTTTGTGCGATGAGTTTGGTATATGGAGGTGAGTTTGGAGGGGGCTACAATCTTAAAATTTGGCGTGACAATTGTGTTTGATAGATGCGTGGTCGATGTGACTGATGTTTTGGTTTAGTTTAAGGACGCGTCGCTTCAGGTGAGTCGGCCGCTACATCACTCGGCGAGCTTTCATCTATTGTTTCTATATCCCTCCTACCAAATAGCCGATGTCTTCTGTTTGACAATCTGGTACATCTGCATAGTAGATATTTAAAGACCTCTACCCATTCTTCGTTTATTATTTCATTTTGGTCAGTCAATGTGCCTACCGCAATTATGAGATCAGACCTGTTAACTGATAGAAGAGAACATGTTCTTTTTCTCCAGATGTCCTTAGATGCCTTGTGTCGTCGTCCAAGTGTCGCCTTCTACCAGCTTCGGCGATAAGATCTTATCGGTGCTTTATAGTTTTACCAGATTACCGGTCAGATGTCCTTAGATGACTTGTGTCGTCGTCCAAGTGTCGTCTTCTACCAGCTTCGACAATAAGAGTTTATCGGTGTTTTATAGTTTTATCAATCGATCGAATAGGAACCACCTCGGGCTAACTCAAGAGCCATTATCCATTTTGTTGCTATGTCAGGAACATAATCACTTATATGATTTAGTTTGAGTTTATACGAGGGTCTAATAATTGGATTAGGGCAGACGACACTAGCTGCGGCGCCATACTCTACCATCTTTTGTATATATGGCCAGACCGTCCAGAAAACGTTCACCACCAACCCTATCAGGTATGTAGTTGAAGTCGAAAAAGGTGCACCTGTAATCACTAATTTTATCACCTTCACCTAAGATATTCCCACGATGTGTGCTCCTGATAGCTCCGTTGTCAGTAAAGACTATACCCTAACTGTAATTTTCTTAAAATGATATGCTTCGTTTTTGTAGTCTGGTACTATTTGCCGTGTTGTTATGAAGAGACGAAAGTATGAGTGACACAGATGATGTCTATTCGGCATTTGCTTTTGTCCACGGGAGTGAAGCAAATGTAAAAACAACTCAATGGGTTAACGCAATATAATGTCGTTGTGAATCAGTTGTTTATCTGACTGTATCGTCTGTGTGCATTTACTTCCATCTCCACATCAAGACACTTCCACTAGGTAAACAATTCATGCCAGCTCATGACACAATTACAAGGTTTGTATACATCCATCTTCCCGAAATGGAAAAGCTTATTGACTGTTCAAAAAAGTTAGTAAGGTATTTTAAGCACTTGGCGCCTAACAATAAATTTGTTAAAAGCTCGAGAGCATATGTCAAGTATATATTTTTAGAGTTTTTTGCTAGAAAAGTTAAGTGGAAAAATTTAGTGGACCCCACTACAGGAGTCTTACAGGGCTCAAAGATGTTGATCTTACTTACTTACTTTTATACATATTGAAGTCTGCCTTTTTAAGTGTTTCAATCAGTAATTAGTTGAGTTTTATAGGCTCTGTTATATGGCCCTAAGTCCACCAAACCGGCAGGAATTTCCTCCCATCGTAGGTGATTGCACAATATTTATCATAGCTTGAACGAAGAGCATTTAATTGTATACATATTTTTAAGAATACTGATATAACCCATAATTCGTTTAACATCCAAAACGTTTGCTGGGTCGTACTGAAAATAATTCTTTATACTCGTATCTGCGCATTTCTTGTAAAAGTAGGGTCAAGACTTCCTTTTAAGCATAATGATTAAAACTAAAGCAAATCACCCTCATTCAAAACAATCAACTTAGCGACATTTAAACGTCTTTAAACAATTGAAAAAATACCTATCAACAGGTTTGAAGAACTCTCATTGCTGTTACGCAATATACTACTATTTGGCATATGAATGTTTATATCTAAAAATAAAACGTACAAAGGTTGAGATAAAATGTCATCCCTAAGTCTTTGTTATTTGTCATGTAAATAATTGGCTCGTGTAATGTCATGCCAAAAGTTGGGTAAAAATCAAATCAAGTCAAAAGCCAAATAATAATTTCATTCTTGGAATCCAATAATAATTTGGATAATATGCCTACCGTTATATTGTACAAAAAAGTAACCAAGCTGTTGCGCTTTTTAACTCAAGTGTGTACGTATTTGTGAAAAAAAATCCAATGAATATTACGGCTTTGGGCTTTGTGATGTCGGATGAAACATTAAAAACAATCGCGGAATTCTTGCGATTAAATTTTTTTCATTCGGTCTGACCTTATAATTGAAATTCATCTCAAGACATTTAAATAGCAGCTACAGAAAGGAATCCATCATCATATTCTGCTATAATTCCTAACCTCACCAAAACGTTTTCTTTAGCAAAGCGGAATAAAAGCGCATTTATTTAAATTCAAAAGAGGAAAGTAATAGTTTAATAGAAAGTAAATTTGAATAAATATACAGATTTAATCCAATGAGAATTTTTAACAAACAGAGAGGGCTATATACCCTATATAATATACACTGTTACCGGAACAAAAGTGTTTGTCATATAGCAATGCCGATAGTTTTAAGTGAATTGTTCTTGTATTTTTGACATCGAAAACTTTGTAGTTAAAGTAGCAGTTGAATCATGGGTACAATTTATTCCATGTGTTAACGTGTTAAGAGGCATATATGGCGATATTATATCTGACTTTTTGTGTGACATAAATCAAATTTGTTCAGATTTAAATCTTCTTCATCAACAAAAGTATTATGATTCGATGAAAAAATGACCTAACCAGTCTTAAAATCAAGTTGCTGCTTAAGTTTAGAAGCCAAAAAGGGAGAACCACTCTTAGCACATTATCATTCAAATAAATAGATTATCATGCAGATTAAAACGATCAGTATGTGTGTGAAAGATTCGGAAAATAAAATGAAGATTAATAAGCATGTTATGTTTATTTCTATATTATAACGAATAGTAGGCAATCAGTTATATAGTTAGTAGACGTTTTCTGTTGTCTTGACGTTGTTATCAGCAATTGTTTGATGTACAAATGACCTTTAACAACACATAATGATATCTCAGCGGTACCATGTATATAAATGTACATGTGTTCAAGTAACATTAGATTATAATAGTTCAGCCAATCCCTTTCGACTTAGTCAATAAGAAGAAGTGTTATATTCCGATTCCCTGTTATCACAATGCGAAATGTCTGTATTTATTCAATTAGCAGGGTCTGCAAAACCATCGATCACAATGCATAGAGAATGGATTTTCATGGAAGTATTTGTTTACCTCGTTTAGATCTTTTATAAAATGAAGTGATCCTATTCTTTGTAAACATTGAAGGAATTAGTTTGTTTATATATATATATATATATATATATATATATATATATATATATATATATATATATATATATATATATATATATATACATACATAAACTGGGAGCTTGATAAGGTCTCTATTATGCTTCTAGAAAATGATAAGGAGGAAACTAACGCATAGTTCGAAATGTATTGCTTAGTAATGTTGTTTATGCATGCTGGCATTTATGAATGGAAAGACTTTCGCCAACAATGTTTTCCACTTGGTGTGGAATAAAATTATTTCGGCACAACACTTATCCTCATATAGACTCGAATAACTTACTATACCGCATTCATTCCATTCAAAACAATTTCAGACCGAAAAATACGTGTGTTTTGTTAATATCACGTTTGGTCTACATTCGACATTAGGACAGTACACCATTCTTGCTCATTTCGACTTACATTTGATCAACTATATAATTTTTGCTATTTAGATTTCGAACTACTTTTTAAACTAAGTGGCCCCATGAGTCGAAAGAAGATTCTTAAGGAAATCCACAGTAGACCACATAATGGTTTGTAAACCGAAAAACTTTTCCCAATTACATATACCTTTGTAAAAACCATGACAAAGCTTTGTTATTCACTCCAACATTTAATTCTGCACTATTTATTAAAATATATTAAAGAGCATCTACTGTCAGTTTTGTTCGACTATTATTCAACAATGTATGTAGCCCATAAATAAAAACGGTATAGTGTTGTCGAACTAGTTGTCGCTGAACAATATACATTAAAATTATAAACATCGTGTCGAAAAAGTGCAATTTGTTTTCTTATTTTAGACGAAAATATTGAAAATTTTCTTCTTCTTTAAGAAATTTGCCAACATTTATGGTTCAAAGTTCATTTTTTTGCTTTGGTGTATGTCCAACACCAGCTTGGCGAACCAATGCTTTTTTTAATTTTGTACGTGTATATGTAGACAGGCTTCACTCCGCCAAGGCTTGAGATTTGTCATTTTCGATTTCGTGGAGTTTTTTATTTTATTGAATATTGTACTTAAATCTCCGAATCGATTAAATTAGCGCAAATGGCGCGTTTTCTATACAGCGAAGGCATAGCTCAAGTTTAGTAAAAACTCTTCGATTTTTTTAAAATCTTCTCTGAGGTAGCTGATTCCGGGAAAGTATTTTTTCTTGGGCGGGCCTGGGATCCCAGATAATTGAACCGAAAATCCGGAATCAAGAGTCGGATCTACTTAACCAATTTTGTTGTCAATATTCTCTAGATACACATCGTGTAAGCGAACCAAACATTTTTTAAATTTGATATTTTTATTAGCCAGCATACGGCGAGGACTTGCGATTGAAAACATCATTTCAATAAACTCATCTGAACCGGGTTGTCCGGGTTCAAGGACCCACATCTCTGTCAAATATTGCGCCATTTTTGGAAATCCGAGTTTTTACCTAAGATGTTCATGGGTCGAATATCAATTTAACCAGTTTTTTCTTCGAATGAAAATACCTTATCTTAAACAGGTAAAAAAAGTTTTCTCTAACGAGAGTTAAGCCTTAATTTGAGCTTTAAATTTCCGCTTCAACTAGAAAAAAACCTCCAGATCTTCCACATGATTATGCTTCTATGTTTAATGTTTTTCATATTTCCTTTAGACTTACCAAAATAATATACGCAAAGAATTTGCAATAAGCAGCGCAAAGCAAACGTGTAAAGAGAACCCATCGGCATCTTGGGTCTTTTTGATTTCCAAATACTGAGGCACGTAGGGGATTACACCGCCTATGACCATGGCGGATGCAGCAGCCCAGCCAACAACATGACCCACGGTCAATCCCATTTCATCGTTAATTATCCAATCCATGGTTCTAGAGATTGTAAACCAGTTAACGCGAATATATTAAACTTTTTGTTAATGTGCGTGTGGCGATAACAGAACGTCTTAGAGCTGGTTCGTTGCGTGGCGTTAAATAGGAAGAAATCTGGTAACTTGTCTAATTCGCTGTCTTGTCGTCTGGAAAATATTTTTGAGGGCGAAGCTTGTTTCGTTCATTTGACAATGACATTAAGCGCTATCACATAGACGGAATAAGAACAACAACAATAACACAAATCGATAATTTCCTATATTTAAATTGTTTTTTGTTTGGTTTCTTTTGCTGCTGATGTTCTCTCTTAAACGATGAAAAGAGAAGGGCGGTACTTGTTTGGGGCGGCAGGAGATTACAATATTATTGACAATTGACAAAAGCTAAGAATTTATAATCGTTTTACAAATGCTTCGAAATGCTTGGGAAGCCTCTCCGATCTGTCGGCTTTCCTTAATAGTTACATTATTTATTTACACAAATCATCCAATTCGCTATATATAGTTGGTCTTATACATACAGAATTTTTCTTTTGTTATCTATAATCACTTGTTATTGTTTCAATTTCATTTTTGTTCACTTCACGGCAAGTTTCTTAACCTGCGACATTCTGTCGTGCAAACGGATGAAAATTAACGCTGATTTTCCACCAAATTACTTTTTTGTCATTTTTATTGCACAAACTACTTGCAAAGAATACAGCGCTCTCGTTTTCTATGACGAGCCCTACACACTCAGCCCAATTCATGGTATGTGTAGGGGTATATAAACCGACTCTCGACCTATCGTATGTAGAAATCGAATGCGTTGTATTCGATTTATCGGCAAAGCAGAGTCGCATCAGCGCTGCTCATCGTAACATATGTTGAAATAACTTGTTTTTATACCCTACGACACTATAGTTGTGTTCCAGTACTTTTTTAGTAGTAAAACTAGCAGAAGAGAGAACAGTACGAAATGCCATTCTCATTTAGGTGTGCTCAAAAAATAAGGGAACGGAAAATTAGCAGAAATGCGATAAAATGTCAACATTCAAAATTCCAAAAGAAAACAGTCTAAATCGGACTGGTGAAACCTTACTGAAATGGACGCCAAAATTTAAAAAAATGAGTATTGAAAATAATTTAAAATTAAAAATTATTTTTGAATGCTGTTTATTTAGAAAGTTTTGATTTCAGAATCCGTTGAAGAAGAGGTGGAGTTTTCTCAAATCACAACCCCGGAGAAGCTGACATGATTGGAGGCGCCGGTTAAATTAATGTTAAGTCTGCTAGAAGACTTAATGCCACAATTTGGAAAGACAGCCAACCTAAAAAACAAAAATAAAATGTTCGCAGTAATAAACAAACATCTTTGATTTTCAGCTTAATTTTTTAATTTACCTTTCACTAATTTTGCACTGTTTTCCAATACGTTTTCATCGTCTGATTCCTCATTCAGTGAGTCCTCTTCACTCCTGGAATCATCCAAAAGCGAATACATCAGTTGCTCCCTATTTTCCCTTTTTGTTTTTTGTACGACAAATATTAGTTTTAAGGTTTATCTTTTTTCTTTACATTTGTTGCCACGCGCGAACCTTGAAAAGTATCAATACATTTTTCAACCTTGTTAGCCCTGCCAATTAAATGCCAAATTTACAATTTGCACATTTGCTCGGCCAAATTCATGTAGCTAAAACAAGCAGAAATGTGCACCACTCAGCGCCATTTTTTCTCGAGAGAGCTGCAAGTTTTGCTAGTTTTTGGAGTACGGGAACGCGTTGTAGCAGAATTAGCACTAATTAGTACTAATTTTTAGGTTCTGGAACACAGCTTATGTGTTGTTGTAAGATAAGAATAGAACCCTATTGTTTTTGGAGATGATCGCACGATATTTAGGAGTTGAAATGGAACAAAAACGTAAAATTGTCCTGATTTTGCAGTTGCTCTACAGGCCACAATTATGAACCAATCGAAAATTTACGTGAAGTTAGAGTTTGGGACTGGGCAGAAACCTACCAATTTGAGCGGCCATAGGACAATAATTAGCGGGTAAAATAGACCCTAACTTTTATGTTAGAAAATAGGAAAATTTCCACTAAACCGCGAATATTTTTAATCCCAGCCAAATCACAAATACATTAAAAGATCACTTCTGACCATTACAGTGGTGCTAATAGCCAAGAAAACGGATATATAGCAAAATAGGTACTATACATATGTAAAAGAATTGATCTTATTTATTCTGCTTATAAGTCAAGAACCGCTGGGCCGATTTTCACAATGGTCTCTTGCCAGAAAAGGATAAAATAAAAAAGTTATATCTTTTGTTTCATTTTTTCCATTTTTGTCATACTTTTTTATCGCATGCGAATTTTTCAATTTGACATACAATTTTGAATTTTAAATTTTCTAAATTTTTACACCCCCCAACACTACGTTTTGGGGGTATTATATGTATGCGCAATTATCGTCGGATCCTCACGAAATTTTGCATGCGGGTAGGGTTAGGGTCAGAATTAAAGCCTATTGTTTAATTTTTTCTAATTTCGTAGTCGCTCTATAGGCCACAATTGAAACTAATCGACACGGAATTTCGCATCAGAAGAGAGTTAAAGTCAGGGAAGAAGTCTAGCATTTTGGATGACTGTAAAATGGACCACTACTTTCGTGTGAAATTGTTATATCTTTTGTCTCATTTTTTTTTCATTTTTGCCATATTTTTTAATCGCATGCGATTTTTTCAATTTGACTTAAAATTTTGAATTTTAAATTTTCTAAATTTTTACACCCCCCAACACTACGTTTTGAGGGTATTATATGCGGAATTTTGCATCAGAAGAGAGTTAAAGTCAGGGAAGAAGTCTAGCATTTTGGATGACTGCAAAATGGACCACAACTTTCGTGTGAAATTGTTGTGATTACTTAAAAACACTACGGAGTGCGTAAATATAGGCCAAATTCTCCGGGTCAAAAACTAATTAATTTCAATTAATTTGAAATTAATTGTTCTAATTTAAAAATATATATATATATCTATATATATATATATATATATATATATATATATATATATTAATTTCAATTAATTGTTCTAATTTAAATATATATATATATATATATATATATATATATATATATATATATATATATATATATATATATATATATATATATTTAAATTAGAACAATTAATTTCAAAGCTGCAAGTTTTGCTAGTTTTTGGAGTACGGGAACGCGTTGTAGCAGAATTAGCACTAATTAGTACTAATTTGTAGGTTCTGGAACACAGCTTATGTGTTGTTGTAAGATAAGAATAGAACCCTATTGTTTTTGGAGATGATCGCACGATATTTAGGAGTTGAAATGGAACAAAAACGTAAAATTGTCCTGATTTTGCAGTTGCTCTACAGGCCACAATTATGAACCAATCGAAAATTTACGTGAAGTTAGAGTTTGGGACTGGGCAGAAACCTACCAATTTGAGCGGCCATAGGACAATAATTAGCGGGTAAAATAGACCCTAACTTTTATGTTAGAAAATAGGAAAATTTCCACTAAACCGCGAATATTTTTAATCCCAGCCAAATCACAAATACATTAAAAGATCACTTCTGACCATTACAGTGGTGCTAATAGCCAAGAAAACGGATATATAGCAAAATAGGTACTATACATATGTAAAAGAATTGATCTTATTTATTCTGCTTATAAGTCAAGAACCGCTGGGCCGATTTTCACAATGGTCTCTTGCCAGAAAAGGATAAAATAAAAAGTTATATCTTTTGTTTCATTTTTTCCATTTTTGTCATACTTTTTTATCGCATGCGAATTTTTCAATTTGACATACAATTTTGAATTTTAAATTTTCTAAATTTTTACACCCCCCAACACTACGTTTTGGGGGGTATTATATGTATGCGCAATTATCGTCGGATCCTCACGAAATTTTGCATGCGGGTAGGGTTAGGGTCAGAATTAAAGCCTATTGTTTAATTTTTTCTAATTTCGTAGTCGCTCTATAGGCCACAATTGAAACTAATCGACACGGAATTCGCATCAGAAGAGAGTTAAAGTCAGGGAAGAAGTCTAGCATTTTGGATGACTGTAAAATGGACCACTACTTTCGTGTGAAATTGTTATATCTTTTGTCTCATTTTTTTTTCATTTTTGCCATATTTTTTAATCGCATGCGAT